CTTTCATAGCTAGAGCCTGTTCTTTCATAGCTAGAGCCTGTTCTTTCATAGCTAGAGCCTGTTCTTTCATAGCTAGAGCCTGTTCTTTCATAGCTAGAAGACTTCTCTTCAAGGCTTCTCTTTGTTCCAAGGAAACTGTAGGAGAGATACCTCGAGGAAGATTCACGGGCCGAGGAAGGTTGAACGGTTGAGGAATGTTCACTGATGGAAATTGCGAACCCTTTATCTCACTTGAATCTCTTGCGCGATTCTCAACAGAATTCAGAATTTCTCCGTTTGCAGTTTCAGTATTGACTACATCTGCACCATGTCCTAATGCTGCGGGATCAGACATTGCAAAGTTTTCACTTGCAGTGAAATATACTTCATCAGAGGGGAAAACATGTGGTTGAGAGACCACATGGAGTTCGCCACCAGGATTTGATCTGGGAGCAACATTGGCACTAATATTTGGACCTTCATTTGATTCCGGAACCATTTGTGTTGCAGGAGCTGGGGCTTGACAGGTGGTTGTAGAAGGATTGGTGTTGATATCAGCTTCCGAACCATTTCTTTGAGTTTTTTGGGTACCTGAATTTGGTTCGAAAACTGAATCACTCGAAGCACCACCAATCATTGTCATATCATCAGACTCGTGAGGAGGCTCGTCTTGATGGCCATCATTATAAATCTGTTGCTCATTATCACTGGAAGAAACGATTATTATTGGGCTGGATTTCGTATTGTTTACCCTTCTTCGTTTATCTGGAGGCGTACTGTATCTTTCATAAAGATCTTCACTGGACAAACCTGGTGGTAATTGGCCTTCTGTATAATCAATAGGTTGCTTACTACGAAGCCTTCTATCACTTTCAGGTAGGTCTTCAGGTACTTTGTTTTTCGTTCTGAATATCGCATCTCTACGACTTCGAGAATTGGATCTTCTTTGAAAACGATATGGCTGGTGTTCATTTGCCTCGCCAGGGACAGTCTCGCCAGGGACAGTCTCGCCAGGGACAGCCTCTCCAGGGACCAGAGCATTATCTAAAAGATCAATAATTTCAGTAATTCGAGGAACAAGATCTCGGGGGACATGAGCATCAAAAACTTTAGGAATTTGAACCTGTGGACCCTCACTAACACTACGGACCACATAGTTTGACCCGGGAACTAGAGTATCATTGTTGCCAGTTTCTTCTTGAACGGGAATTCGAATAGCTTTAGGAATGGGGACCTGGGGACCCTCACTAAGACTACGAGTAAATCTGTCTTTACGGGGTGTAAATTCATGACTGACCTGGTTTTCATCAGGCCCATCCATATTAGGACCCGTTTCACCAATGACCAGAGGTCTTTGGTTGTTTCTTTGGTTGTTTTCCGTGGTTGAAATCATCAGGGTGAAGTATCACAAAAGGATTTTTCAATTTTTATACTCTTTCTTTTAAATTGGCGTGATCTGAATCTTTACAGAACTCGATATCAATTATTAAGCACTTACTTTCTCTAAATAAACTTACTGCTGTTCAGGAACTTCAAATTAAAGCTTCTGACCAAGAATTTAATCAATTTTTGATAAGTTACAAAAAGTAAAAAGATATAAGTCGCGAACTAAGCTATTTTGCAACCTTTTTGAGTTTCAAATCCAAACTGAACTTTTTGTAGTTCAAGATGGTAGTATGAAGAGAAAAGGACCGTCGTAACTATCGCAGTTCTCTTTCATGGAACTAGTCTCTTTTGTATGGGTTAAAATCCCCTTTTCACACTCGGGGCCTAAATAAACTCTTGAAAGCAGCATACCTTCCTTTTTGAAGTAGCAAAAGATAGAAGAAGAATGGGAGGAATATTCAACGTCCTAAACTTGAAGAAGGATTTCTGGTACGAACTTTACAAAAGGATGAAGAATAAAATCATTATATATTAAAATAAATTACTTAATCCCTTCTTTCGAAATCATCAGCTTGGATCTTTGATCTAAGACACATCTGTTGGAAAATACTATCTTTAGTATTGAATAAATTCCAAGGAGTATCGAATTCTTTTAATTCTCCTTTATCTAATACTAAAATTTTATCATAATCTATGATAGTCTTCAATCTATGAGCTATACATAAGATAGTACAATTACCAAATTCATTAACAATAGTTTGTTGAATCTTAGCATCAGTTTCATAATCAACTGATGAAGTTGCTTCATCTAGAATTAAAATTTTCGAATCTCGTACTAAAGCTCTAGCTAAAGCAATTAATTGTCTTTCACCTAACGAGAAATTAGAACCATCATCTTCAACTGATTGTTCTAAATGAAATTTATGTAAATTTTCATCATCTTTAGATTGTTTAGAAACAGCTTCTAATTTTGAAGCTTCAATTAATCCTGATCTTCTTAAAGCATCCCATAATTTAGCATCAGTTTGTTGATTAAAAGGATCTAAGTTTTTCCTAATAGAACCTCTAAATAAAACAGGATCTTGAGGAATAATAGATAATTTTGATCTTAAATCTTTTAAACCTAAGTTGGAAATATCAACTCCATCAATTTTAATGTTACCATCATCTAATTCTGATAATCTATATAAAGCTGTCATAATAGAAGATTTCCCAGCACCAGTTCTACCACATATACCAATTTTTTCTTGAGGTTTAACATTAAAATCAAGATTTTTTAAAACAAGAGGTAATCCTGGTCTATAAGCTAAAGAAGCATTATTAAATTCAATACCACCTTTTTGAGGCCATGAATCATCAGGTTTATTGGCTTCAATTTTATAAGGAGCTTCTTGTTTTAAATCATAAGCAAAATCAAATAATCTTTCAGTAGAATTCATTCCATTTTCAACTTGAGTATAAATTCTAATAAAGAAAGCAACTTGACCGGAAATATTTAAAATATATGAAACAACTAAACCAGTTGATGAAGCTGAGATATGGAAAACTCTAAATACTGCTAATAACGTAACAATTAATGGTAAAAGACATGATAATAATTCTAAAGTAATACCAACCCAACGTTGAGCAGCAATAGTTAAATAATAAGCTTCATTCATACGATCAATATTATATTCGTTTTTAGTTAAAAATCTATCTTCAGCTCTATAAGCTTTAATAGTATTCATACCAACTAAAGTTTCATTGAAATTATTATAAACAAAAGATCTTTGAATTGATTCAATTCTTTTAACTTCACGAGCAGAACTTTGATAATATTCAGCAATTAAATAGAATATTATGGCAACTGGTGGAATAGCAATAGCAAACCATGGTAAATAAATAATACATAAAATCAAAACCCCAATAACATTAGCTACAACGAAACTAAAGAATCTTAATTGATCACCCAATTCATTATCTAAAACATCAGTATCTTTAGTGAATCTATTTAAAATTCTTCCCATTGGTGTAGTATCTAAGAAAGCCATTGGAGAATATAAAACTTTTTCAATAGCTAAAAGGTTTAATTGTTTGGAAGCTTGATTGGTAGAATAACCTAAAACAGTGAATTGTAATGTGACAAAAATGAATGATAAGATAGTAAACATAACATAAATTCCAATATAGAATCCATTAGTTTTACCTTCAAATTTATATTCTGTCCAGAATGATAACCAAGTGTTGGTGAATAAAGTACAGAAAGTACCAATAGAAGCTGTCAATATAATTAAAAAGATATTTGAACGGAATTTGAACACTCCTTCACCAAGTTTGAAATATTTAAGATAAACTCCAAACCCAACTCCATCAGTAGCTCTTGATTCATCTTCAGTAATTCTACCATTAGCAGTTTCATCAAGATTATAATCTTTATGTAAAGCTTCTTCATCTAAAGCATCTAAAGTTTTAGAAGTTTTGATAGTTGAACGAGTAACTTGACGTTGAATGAATTCTTTTTCTTCTTCCTTTTCTTCTTCATCTTCAAATTCTTCTTCATCTTCTTCTTCATCTTCAGTAGTTTTTTGAGAATTGAAAGCCATTAATTTTTTAAATCCTTCATTTGATTTATCTAATTCTTCAAAAGATCCTACAGAAACTGATCCATCACCATTTAAAAAGATGATTCTGTCAGCAGCTCCAATTAATGATAATTGATGAGTAGCCAAAATTCTGGTTTTGTCTTTTAAAAGTCCTAAAATACAACTTTCCATAATATGTTTACCAACTCTTGCATCAACAGCACTTAAAACATCATCTAATAAGATAATATCTTTATCAGCATAAACTGAACGAGCCAAATTAATACGAGCTTTTTGTCCTCCAGATAAAGTGATACCTCTTTCACCGATTTCAGTTCTATCACCAGCAGGTAAGATTTCTAAATCACTTTCTAATGAACAACAATAGATAATTTCTTTATATTTAGCATCATCAAATTCTGATCCGAAAAGAATATTTTCTTTAACGGTAGTATTTTGAATCCAAGGTTGACCACATAAAACCATTGAACCATTGATATCAACTGTACCTTCAGTTCTTTTCATGAAACCTGAAACAGCATTTAAAAGTGATGATTTCCCTGATCCAATCAATCCAGTAATAACCACAAATTCTCCCTTTTTAATATTAAAATCAATATTATTCAAACCAGGGAATGCTTCAGCATCTAAAGTAGAAGAATCGGAAGTATCAACAACTTTTTCAGTGATTTTTTCTTCAACTTTTTTAGATTTTTTAGATTTTTCATCCTTTTCATTCATAATTTTGTCATCATCTTGTTCGAAAGTTTCCCATTCAAAAGTAGCTTTATTAATCTTGATAGCTAAACCTTCGGTATCCATAGAATCAACAATTTCATTATTAGCTTCAACCAAACCTTCATTTTCTTGAAGTTCTTCAGCAGCTAAGAAATTACCAATTCTATCAATACCAATTAAAGCATCTGATAATGAAGCTAAAGCCATAGGAACCATGAAAACCAATGATGTGAAAACATTAAATAATGATAATGATGAAAAAATATTAGCAGCATTACGTTTACTTGAACCTAAAGCATAAAGTACTAAGAAAGCTGCCATTGAAGCTAAAATAGATAAATTTAAAGTGGCAGAAATAATGATATTTCTAATACTTTGAATAAAGAAGATGATCCCCATTTCTTTACTTCTAACATCAGAAATATTCTTATGATAAGCTTCTTCCCAACTATAAAATTTAATCACTTTCAAATTATTTAAAACTTCTTTAATATAATCGACTCTTAAATCAGTGAATTTGGTAGCTTTAGCTCTCATAGCAAACAATTTCTTGGAAGCCAAACCAACGACAACAAGGAAAACAATCAATAAAGCAATACCAACTAATGCTGATACTCCAATATTAACAATCAATATAACAATGATTGTAACAAAAGGAGCAATGAAAGTTAATAAGAAAGGTTGGAAACCTGCAGCAAAATCAATTCTAGAAGCATCAGTACCCATCATTGAAGTAATCTTAGAAGTAGGATAATCATGTCTTGATTTAGCATTCAATTTGAATGATTTATCTAAGATAGCTTTAGTTAAAAGAGCTCTAATCTCGGCACCAACAAACATAGCTCTATAGAATCCATGATTTATACAAAGACCTGCAAAATATACCATGGCAACTGATCCAATAGCATAACCAACACCTTTACCTACTTCTTCAGTAAGCCCTAAAACTCTTTCTTCAACAAAAGTGATCAATTTTTTGGTTAACAATGGAGTTAAACATTGAAACATATTAGCTAAGAATACAAATATACAAGCCAAAGTATATCTGACTTTAAAAGTAAGGAAAAAACACCATAAAACCATTGATTTAGGAACTTTGAAATCTTTCAAAAGGTCATCTTCTTCACCTGTAGCTCCATTTTTAATCTTTTGATCGATATGTTTCTGTTGATGTTTTAATAAGTAATATTCAAAATATCCGTTGAACTTATCAGTGATAGTTTTAACTTTATATTCATCATTTAAGTAAAATAAATCTTCGGGTGCTAAAGTTCTTTTGTATCCGGAGTTCATAATGGGGACGAACCACCAGAAGAAAACCTTGGAAAAGAAGTTAGCTCTAATCTCCGGAAGCTCTTTCCTCTCATCTTCTTCAGGAATTGGAGGAACCTTCTTATTAAGAAGGAACGTTAATGATCTCTTCTGGAGCTCCATAGTTAATTTTTCACTTAGTGCGAGGTGGCGGTATTTATATAAGCTGCTCCGTGTATCACCGCCGTAAATGCCATGCGAAGAGGAGGATGAGTAATACAAGATATTGATACTGGCTATGGCAAAAAATAGTATAAACGTCACTGAATCAAAATTTACAGGGTCAGATTGAAGTACAGAAGGTTTTTTGGTGGATATGACCTTAACTTTGTTGAATTGGGCCTTGATATTTATAAGGTAGAAGGCTGGCGGACGGGCGCGGCCACGGCAACGGTTTTGAAAGTTTTCTCCGATATGTCAAACATCATTTATTTTTGTTTGACATTACGTAAGCTATGTTTATATAATCGAACATGTTTACGTAAGCGAGAGAAAGATGAAAAGCCTTTTTCTACAAATAATTGTTGGGTTACGAAGCATATTATCGATATGTTTAAAGGCAGGTGGAATGAAGGAAGTAGAGAAGATGGTTGATTGTCTATTAGGAAACGATCCAGCTAAGGTGGTAATGTTGCTTACTCATCAAGCAATGAAATTTACGAGCCATTCGCTGCATTCAATAGATTGGACAGCAAGATACGGGGAACGGTGAAAATGAAATTCCGTGAGTGAAAATGGCTTTCAGAGTTTAGCAAGATAGTCTTTTGAATAGGGAGTCAGTTACGTTGAAGCTTGTTCAGGGATTCAGGGTAGGTCGAGTAATGTGCGGAGATGTCAATTGTTCTGCGATGAGCTGTGGTTTTCCAGGGTCAATGATTCTCTAGGAAAGTCAAAGGTTCTCTAACATTAAAGGTCCTCTAACATCCAAGGTCGATAATTCTCAAGTCAATAATCTCAACGTAATAATCCTCTAGAGTTGACAGTTTTCGGCCCACTCGAATCATAGAGAGAGAGTAATAGTTATGGGAAGAAATATCTGTTAGCTACCTAATTTAAATCTTTCTTTAAAGTACCCATGAAAGCATGTTTTTCAGCTGGGGTTTGGAATCTACCTTTACCGAATCTTGAAGCAGTATCAATCCATTTTAATTGAACTTTTTCAGTAGCTCTTCTAGCAGTAGAAGTGTATAAAGATTTTCTTAAGGTAATGATTCTCTTTTTAGTACCTGGGATAGAACCTTTTAATAAGACGAAATCGTTTTTAACTAAACCGTATCTAACGAAACCACCCATTGGGTTAATGGTTTTAACAGTTCTATCGTATTCAGTAGAACCTGAAGATTCATCATCAGCTTTACCAATTCTGTAAATCTTGTGGTTAATTGAAGTTCTGTGGTGGTAACCGTTTTGACCGGCTCTAGCAACAGTCCAATTAACATTAGCTGGATGCCAAGCACCAATACAAGCAACTTTTCTTAAACCTCTATGGGTTTTTCTTGGTAATTTTTTGGTTCCCCATCTGTGGGTTACACCTTCGAAACCATGACCTTTGGTAACAGCAATAGCATCAATCATTTCATCTTGTTCGAAAACTTGATCAACTGAAACGGTTTTTTCAAAGTGTTCTTTGGCCCAGTTAACTTTATCAGAGATTGAACCACCGTTAACTTGAATTTCAGCTAAGTGAGCTTTCTTTTGAGATAATGGGGTTTTCTTGATTTGGGTGTGAGCTAAAACTCTAACAACTGAAGCGTATTTTTCAATTCTTTTCAATTCTTTTTCAACTTGAGTTGAATCTTTAGCGTATTTAGCTGAGTATTTGGTAAAAGCCTTCTTTTTAGATTTGTACCAGTTTTTGTAGAATCTTCTTCTAACTTCTTCACTTAAGTGTTCAGACCAAACAGTGGTTAATGATCTTAAACCTCTTGGAGTTTCAACGTAACCGACAACACCAACAATGACTAAAGGTGGAGTATCAACAATGGTGGTAGCTTCAACAACTTCTCTTTTGTGCATTTTAGAACCTGGTCTGTCTAAATCTCTGACAATGGTGGTCATACCAGCTTTGTAACCTAAGAAAGCAGTTAATGAAACTGGTTTAGATTTAACATCTTTTGGGAATGACTTAACTCTACCTCTTTGTTTGGCAGCTCTTTTCTTTGGTAAGAATCCTAAGGAACCGTGTCTTGGTTGTTCGTATTTTCTATGAGACATCTCTAGTGTTTAATGATAAAAATTTTTTTTTTTCAGTTGATGAGGATTTGATGAGAATAATTTTTCAGATATCCGCACGACTAAAGATACTCGCACTACTGAGGAAAATGGATGTGACGGTGAGTATACCGGTTGACCGAGATGGGGGCTAAAGCCCTCAGCGAAAAACAAAAAGTAACCTGTCTGGTAGTAAAGTAACATCTCTGCACCAGGGCTAAAAGCGATTTGGTAGTGCATAGTTATGGACACCTAAAAGTAGTGTCCTGAATAGCAAGGCACTTGATTAAACGAAGTAGTCAATTGCATTATCTGGATCGGTTACTTATCACCTGAAATAAAGGGATGTCGGAAAGCAAGATCCCATGGGTTCTGACGTGGCACTAGGTATAGTTGGTAAGAATCTTTGGTTGCTTATGCATCGAACAAGGGAAATCTCTATGAGGTCAAGGTCTGACGATCATTCAAGTCAGGTCAGATCACCAATAGGATTGACCAAACGGACTTGAACTGGTAATCTTCACGGATTTTACTTAAGTAAACCTACTGACTATAGTTTTAGTCGATTGTTCTCGCTAATAACTAAACTTCAGGGCGACCACGGCGTGTGGAAAGATTATCCGAGAGGTAAAAATACATCCACCAAGAGCTAATCAATCGTATCTGTGAATGAATAATTTTTGCAGCCATAGTTACGAAGTACCTTATACCAAGAGATTAATATGAACGGATTTAACATATGAAGGTCAAGAGTCCATAATGTTCAACGATGTTTTACGTGGAATTCCTTCCTGTCACACTGTTTAAATCTCATCTCTTATGATCTTCAATCTAATGGACAACAGGATTACTCCTTAAATTGCGTGGCAGGGGAATTTCTGATGGAATTTTAATTTGACTACCTACTTTGGTAGGAACCTTTTAACTCCCTTAGTTACTTTAAACCCGTATTGTCACAGTGAGGTCGGCAGTGCCTTTCCACCATCTAACGCCCTATTATCGTAACAGTACGAATTATAAACTATAATAATCAATGGAAGCGATGTCGTGCGACACTGGTTCAGATAACAAAGGTGTTTGACCACAATCAACTCACCAATACAATAGCCAGCATCCCTCTACTCCTGATAAAGGAAAGATTTTAGGGTTTAATGCATTGCATCATAAAAATAAACTGTAATTATAACCGATCAGTAACAATCAAAGGGGTTTTTGAAGTAGTGTGAATTTTGAAATAGAGGAGAGGTTTCGTAGGATCACCAAGTGATTATTACCACGTCTAGAAGTAAGATTGGCGGGATGGATATCACAACCCCCGAAGATCCGGTTATGTCCCTATGACAGGCCAAGCGAGATGGTTAACAATTGCGTTCTAGTTTGCGTTCAAGATCTGGAATGTTACATCACTCAGATTGATCTGAGTCAGGAGAATGTAGTTAACGAGATCTAGGATATGAGGAATGTAGAGCTGACGAGACATACCAGGTAACATTGGAACGTCATAAGTCCATTCCACAGCATACCAGAGAAATTGAATAGACCAATGTCTCCACACCTAAAGGCTCAAAAACTCTTATCGGACTGGGGATCAGGACCATAGGGTCTGAGGACCAGGGACTCGAATAAACAGAGGCAAAGTGAAAGGCTAGAAGCCACGGGAGACTGGAAGTCACAGGAGACTGGAAGTCATAGGAGACTGGAAGTCATAGTCAGGGGTCAGCAACCTCTTCAAATGACCAGCAACCTCTTCAAATGACCAGCAACCTCTTCAAGGGACATATTCAGAGATCAGCAACTCAGCACCATCAGGGTCTGAGTAACATCAGAGCAACAGAGCCCCAGCAACAGAGTCCCAACAGAGTCCCAACAGAGTCCCAACAGAGTCCTAGCAGAGTCCCAGCAGAATCAAGAGTACACTTTAACCTAGAATATCTATTTCCTCTTTACATGAATAATCTTCTTTAATGCTAATCTGGCGTCACCGTCATCATTATAATTATAAAGATCATTAAAATAATACTGATTATTTAAATTAATCCCCATTCCAATAGCATTACTATTTGGGGTTTGAAAACTAAAGTCTTTGAAGTTGTCCTTCTTAGGAGAATTGAAAATTGAATTCATCATTGAACTGAATTGTGGTGTTAAATTATATGACAAAGGAGTGAACCCTGTTGAAACAGTGAAATCTTTTGTCTTTGGAGTTTGAGGTAAATTATTTTCATTAAAATATGTTGTTTGAGTATTATTACCATTATTAACATTATTTAAAGTAAATGAACTATCGGAATTATATTTTACAATTGTTGGTTTTAAATTTTGATTCAAATTCAAGTTTTGACTTAAATTTTGATTTTGACTAACATGACCTAAAGTCATAGTTTGACTTAAGTTTGGAGTGTGAGTCAAATTCAAGTTCAAGTTTTGGTTTTGACTTAAATTTTGGTTTTGACTTAAGTTCTGATTTTGACTTAAATTCTGATTTTGACTTAAATTTTGATTTTGACTTAAATTCTGGTTTTGACTTAAATTTTGATTCTGATTTGATACCTGCCCATAATCAAAATCATTAAAATTATAATTTAAGCTGTTATTCAAATTATTATTCAACATTTCGAAATTATCCATCGCCAAATCTTTCTTTGTTTCACCACCTGAATAAGATAAACTTCTATAATTTAAATTATAGTAATTTTGACCAAAGTGACCATTTTGACCAGATTGATGGTGAGGAGTTTGTTGAGGAGTTTGTTGAATATTAAGTGAAGCTCTTCCATTACTATCAACAGTTAATCGATTATATTCCTCTTCAGGTTTAATCATTACTGGAGGTAATAAATTTCTTGACAGTTTAGCTTTAACTGAAGGTGGAGGAGTTAAATTTCCTGTTATTAATGCTATGTTATCCAAAGTTTTCGAGTTAATCTCTTTTTTAATAGGACTAGAATTAATAGAATCTTTCAATTTCCTCTTCTTAATTCTACTATTAGGTGATACTCTCATAGTTGGAGTGAAAATATCAGGAATTCCCCGTTTAACTATTTGATTAGAATTATTTTCAGCATCAGGAGAATTTGATAACGGTGAAGTATTAATACTAATATTAATAGTCTTGGTAATCTTATTGGAGAAGTTATTAGGCTTTGGTGGTCTACCTCTTTTCCTTTTAGGTGTTGATAAGTTGACTGAAACCATATGAAAATTTTTGAGAATCTCTCCCTTGTGACTTTAAAGTAAATGAAGTTATATGAATGATATGCACAAAATGACCAAAAATGAATATGACCAAGAAGTTATGATGATGAAAAAATGACAAAAAATCAAATGAACAATAGGTACAATGACTGAATGAAAAATGTAATGGATAAAATGAAAATGGTTTAACGAGATGAATGAAAGGAAATTACTTTGATTTTATAATGTTTACGCGTCTAATTAACTATCCCTATTTGAATAATTACAGTGCTATTGTTTAATAAGTACAATAAGAATGAAATTTTTTAAACTTGGCTACAATTTGTATTGTTGAAAAATTGATCTTAAATCCTTGTCGTGCTTTGAATTGAGAGGTGCGTGACATATATCGTCAGCTTACGTAATCGGGACATTTTTTTTATGCCATTTCTTTTCTATTTGAGATAGAGATAACCTTTTGGAGGTTTTATAGTTTAAATTGATGGAGGCTAAGCTTTAGGCAAGATAGAGTTTGACAGGAGTTTTGAAGTTTGAAACTAGTAATGAGTAAGTAAAAAACCAAGTCGGTGGTAGTCTACAATCCCGAACATGGGATCTTCAATGGATCTCCCTGGCCTGCGGAATTAGTGACGACTCAGGTGTATGCAAGATACACTACCCCTTTTTACTGTAAAGGGTTAATTTATTGAACCCTAACAATTAGGGTCTCGTTACGATCTGTTTTGGGCCGATTGCAGATACTTAGGGTTGTTGAGAGGATAATTACAAAGCTTCGGACAAAGAAGTGAAATAGTTAGTAATTAAATTAATAATAGATTTCTTTACTTTAACAAGTAATTTCGATAAAAGACAAGAAGTTACCCGTTGACTTAGGGGAGGAGCGTACTACTTGACAATATAACGTAGATACTTTCCACATAACAAAGAGATCATGTTTCATGTTACTTAACATTCACGGTAATTCATACCACGATTAAAGTTTACGGAACTAGCGAAATCCAAGCGATCAAGTTTAGATGGAAAATGGATGCCATCTCGGTTATTCATGTAATAAAATTTAAGGATTTTCAAAGAATGTAGGAATGTTACCAAAAGCTTATTACACGAGACCGGTTGTCCGGACACATAACCATCCAAAAGGGACGCAATTTTTTTAACAAAAACTATATCACGCGATTAATCACATGACTAGTCACATGACTCAATTGCTGTTTGGCTCATTCGTTTAAATCGCAAAATATACGATGAGTGATAAATCAATGTTGAATCCTATCACTAAAGAACGGGAATTCAATGGGGTTTTTGGTGCTTTAGCCATTAGTTTAGGACTTCCAGCTCTTATCACAGTCTTCGGATTAATTTTCAATTCTGAAGGTTTCAATCCTAACTTTAAATTGGATCTTTCATTTAATGATTTCTTTAATTATGATGCATGGAAATTCTATTGTAGTTGGTTTTTCGGTTTATTAGCTATAGATCAAGTAATTCCAGGGAAATATTTAAAAGGTGTTACATTAAGAGATGGTACTCAATTAACTTATAAGATCAATGGGATGAATTTATTGATGTTTTTACTTGTAATTGAAGGATCAAGATTATTCTATTTACCTGAATTACCTGAATTGAAGTTCATTTATGATCACCAATTACAATTGACTTTAGTAAGTATCATATTTTCATTTGTATTGGCAGTGTTTGTATACGTAATGTCATTTTTCCCTAATTTAAAGAAAAATGGTGTTAATACCAATGAAAAGATTTTAGCTTTAGGTGGTAATACCGGTAATTTCATTTATGATTGGTTCATGGGAAGAGAATTAAATCCCAGAATTGGTCCTGTGGACATTAAATTATTTTGTGAATTAAAACCTGGTCTTCTTTTATGGCTTTTCATTAATTTATCCTGCTTATATAATCAATACTTAAATGGGAAAGTTACTGATTCCATGATATTGATCAATATTCTTCAAGGTTGGTATATTTTTGATGGAGTTATGAATGAAGAAGGTTTAATCACCATGATTGATGTAACCACTGATGGATTTGGGTTTATGTTAAGTTTTGGGGATTTAGCTTTAGTTCCTTGGTCTTATTCTTTACAAGCAAGATTTTTAAGTGCTCAACCTGTAGTTTTGGGTAAAATCAGATGTGTGGGGATCTTAGCCGTATCATGTCTTGGTTATTATATTTTCCATTCATCCAATCTTCAAAAATCCAACTTTAAGAGTGGTAAATTGAACCATATGAAATCTTTAAAGACTAAAACTGGTTCTAACCTTTTAATTGATGGATGGTGGAAATTATCTCAACATATCAATTATTTCGGTGATTGGTTGATTGGTTTATCATGGTGTTTAACCACTGGGTTCAATACTATCTTGACCTATTTCTATATATTTTACTTTGCTGGGTTATTAATCCACAGACAAATGAGAGATGATGAAAAATGTAGTGAAAAGTATGGTGAGAGTTGGGTTGAATATAAAAGGCAAGTTCCTCATAAGATTATTCCTTATGTTTATTAGTGGAGGTATTAGAGCAGTGAGAGCCACCAGAACAAAGTCAGAGCTACCAGAACAGTGAGAGGTATCAGAACAGTGAGAGTGACCAGAACAAAGTCAGAACTACCAGAACAAAGTCAGAGTGACCAAAAAAAGTCAGAGCCACTCCAGAAATATCTCAATATATGTATTCCTCTACTCATTCTTCTTCTCATAATCAACTTCTTTTTCAAAACTACTGTAACTGATTTCAATAGAACTGGTCCATTTCAAAGCTACCGAAAAGATTAAAATCAAAAATCCCGAAACAATCAAACACATAAAGATTCCAGGAGTAAAGAATTGATAATTATGGAATAATCCTTTGTTTGATACTTTTAAAACGTCATTTCTAGCTAATTGAACAATCAATAATTTATCATCATCAACTTCTTCAGCATTAGAAAGGTATTGCACACCTCCACATAACTTTTCAAACTCTTCTTGTGATGCTAATACATAATTGAATTCATGGTTATCGGCATTATCCACCTTTAAAAATTGAACTGATGAACAGAAAGGTGATAACTTTGAAGCGAAATCTTCCTTCTCATTGATTAATTCTAACCCCAAGTCTCTATTGGCAGAGATTTGGAGTGATCCTAATACCATTGATATCAAACTAATTATCACCCAGTAATTCATGTCGAGCGTGAGTGAGGGAAATTTCGCTATCTTGAAAAAAGAGAGGTTTCAAACACGAGATTTTATTCTTTAACCCAATCCACAAACACTTCAACGAATAACAAAGAGAATGGCTGAAATCCCAAGAAGTGTGTTGAATAAACTTATCTTTTTCACTGGAGGAATGATTATATTTCCCATCACATCATTTTTCATTATTCAGTATTTGTTCAATAATACTTTAGTCAGTGGAGGTATTGCTGCGTTGGTTGCTAATGTGGTGTTGATAGGGTTTATAGTGGTTGCGTTTAATGAGGAGTTACCTATGGATGAGAAGAAGGAGCAGTAGGGGGTGAAGTAGGATTACCAGAGAGGTTGAAGGGGGGTGTACGCCATAAAAGCAGTGCTTAAGGAAGAAGATCCCCATAAGTGACCTGAAGTGACCTAAAAGAGTCCAAAAAAAGACTTAAAAGAGTCCAAAAAAGACCAAAAAGACAAAGACAATTGGCTAATCAGAAGATTGATACCAAATATCAAAATTCCAGATACCCTAAGTACATAGGCCCATAATAAGACAATACAAACACTTGTAGTACCGTTTTCACCCTCTACATAACAGTATCCACCAACTCTTTGTACCACCATACTTCTACCACTCACTCTACCACACTTCCTCCACCACCCCTTTATCACCTCCTCTACCTCTTCCTCCCTCAATTAATCTTCTCGCACTATGGTTCACCAGCTTTGTCTCATATCCACCATCGAATTCTCCAACTACATCCAAACCATCTCCACCCTACAGGCTATCACCGGTCAAGTTCCCACGTCAATTTCCACATACTCCATCATCAGCAAACCAATCAATGTATTTAAACCCAAATTTGAACCTGGTAAAGTTAACCAAATAGAACAATTTTTCATGAAATCCATAACTACTTGGGATGAAGATATCAATATCAATGATCCTATCATAGATAAACAGTTCACCAGTAAGCTATTTACCGGAGAAAATAAAATATGGACCCTTCAAATCGCCGATATCCCCATTGCTGGTAAAAATCAAATTTGTTCCTTACAAAATATCTATGAATCAACGTTAGTTTATAATTCTAATGATAATTCGTTCCTCCAATTCTTAAACGACTTGGGCTATGAAGTGATAAATCAATTCTGGAACAAAGGATTACGGTTCTTTTATGGAGATATAGTGATAGAGATTTATAAGATATTTATTCGAGATGATGGTCAACAGGAAGAAAATCCTGACGATATGGAAGGAATACAGAAGTCTGATAAGATCACATTGAAGCTTCTAGATGAATCTAATGGGTTTCAAATCAAGGCTTTCATAAATGTTCCTAAGAGTACTGATTTAGATATCATTAATCAGGGATATAAAGATTTGGTTAAGTTACAGGATAACCTTAAGGGGTTGGTGAAGTTTGAGATTCCTGATAGAATATTCATGGACTCCAGAGTTAGTTCTACATAATGTATTTCTATTTACACAGACGGTGATGAGTCTCTATTTCTTTCTATTAACTTTTGGGCCATTTCTACACTCTATACCAGTGTACAAAAAGTGGCCATTTATACACCACTCTCCCACACTCTCCACCACTATATACCACTTTACACTATCAACCCCCCTACTTACTTCTAACAACATAATAATCATGTTTACCGAATCCGACCTCTCCCTTGTCTTCTCTAGGACGAAGGTTCCGTATATCTTCTTGTATTTGCTGAAGATTCATCTTTACTGGATGAAAGTCTGACTTTAACAATCTGAACAATGAGTTGTTATCACCTTTACCTTTATCCAATTCGTTAACTACTGATAATTGTTTCTCCAATGATTGTTTGAACTGTAAGTCATCGTCAAGACCTGAGATGAAGATCATTTTATCCACGGTTTTCTGGCTAATCTCTGGGATTTTTGTGGAATTAAGAATGGAATTAACACTCCATGTTGGTTTAAGGAGGTTAGTTATTTGACTTTTAGTGATAGGTTTACCTATTGGCATGTTAGGTGAAATATTTTGAGAGGAGCGACATCAAAAGGGTGCGACAATCGACGACACAAAACGACACAATGTGACATTTTACGACATTTTGAATCAGAGACCAGAGATCCACCAGAGGTCCATAGACAGTCAGAAAGACAGAGATCCACCAGGGGCCCATAGACAGCCAAGGAAGGTCAGTCAGAAAGACAGATACCCAGTCAGAAAGACAGATACCCAGTCAGAAAGACAGATACCTGGGGCCAAAGAGACAGAAACCCAGCGAACAAAGAACACCTAAATTATCTATAAATTGTTTAACTCATTTTTAGTCTTTTGCAACTTCTTTCTCTTCTTATCCAATAATTCTTTCCTTTCTTTCTTCTTTTCAATACCGTATTGCATCTTATTATATAATTTTCTTTGTTTGTTGGTCATCATGATTTTCTTTAATTCCTTTTCATCATCTTCTTCAACCTTTCTCTTCTTAGTTTTGATTGGTTCGTAACTACCTGAAGCTTCTTTTTCCAATTCTTTTTGGTTCAAAAGATCTTCATCAATTTCTTCATCATCTTCCTCATCCTCTTCTTCTTCTTCAACTTCTTCTTCCTCTTCTTCTTCTTCAATTTCTTCTTCACCTTGTTCACCTTCACCGGCGTTTTCAGGATTATAATTACCAGAATCTCCCCATGGACTTAAATGAGGTGGTAAGATTTCTCCAGGTACATATTTGTTAACACTAATCAATTCTTTCTTATTGATACTATCGAAAACCCATTGTGGTTGAATATAAGTTCTACCACCAACTTTTTCGAATTTTGGTCTATCGATGATTTCATGAGTAATCTTAGATAAATCTAATTTCTTATAACTTTCACTATCATTATATTTCAATTCATTAATAGCTACTTCAGAAATGATTTTACCACCACAGGATAAAATACAGAATTCCAAAATATCTAAAGGAACTTCTCTTGATACAAAGAATACAAATCCTTCGAATAATTGGGAAGTAGGAGACAGATATTTTGAAGGTTGAATAAGACTATCCCCCTTTTCAGTTGAAAATTCATCTAATTCGACTTTTTCTTCTTCAATATCTTCAATTTCTTCATCATTGCTTTGTTTATCAGCTTTTAAAGCTTTAGATAATTCTTTCTTACTCAAAAGTTGTCCTTGTTCATCATTAACTTTTTGAGGTAAGGCATCTTCATTTAAAATATAACTAGTTAAACCTCCAACTGATTTCAACACTTCCTTGTTAATCAATGGGGGATAAACTAAATTACTATCTTTGTATAATTTGAATAATACGAATTTTAATAAGTTAGAATAGAATTCTAAAAATGTTAACATGATTCTAAAATCAATATCAGTTGGAATTAAAGTTGGGAATTTAAAAGGTACTAACCATCTGATTTCTTGACCTTTAACATTGGCTTCATAATAAACCCCTTTAATAGAAACAAATACTTTCTTTAAACATCTTTCTTTAGCAACATAAGCTAACCATTGATTAGTTAAAGTTTCAGCAGTTTTAATAATTCTGGTGGAAACTTTATCAGTGGCTGGCATATTAGCAAATAAGAATAACATATTCAAAGGATCATCTAAATCTCTTAAAGCATCTAAGAATGTTGGATATCTTTCCTTAATAACATGATCTAATTTATATTGAGGTCTATTGGAATCCAATTTTTCAGCATCGGAAATTTCTCCTCTACCTAAAGCTCTTTGTAATTTCTTAGCAAAGGTTTTGTGTTCTCTGAATTTCATTAACACAGGTTCATGCATTAAATATTGAATATCTTTAGCATAATAGAAAGTAACAGGTGCAGTTGAACCTTTGTTAGCTTTCTTTTTATTTCTTGGTTCACGGGGGTAAATTCCTTTGAAAATACATAATCTTCTGAAATCAGCTAAAGATATTTGTAATTTCTTAACAGCTTGAGTTCTGGTGATGAAATTCTTAGCATTACCACTGGTACCTTTCTTTTTGATTCTCATAGTGTAGTGAGATGAGATGAAAATTTCTCATCGCGAGATTTATGTGTTGATGAGATGGGGAGAGATGGGGAGTGAGATTGGTATAGTGTTTTTGGCTAAACGGGAGGTTGACCGGCACTGTCAATGTTACTGAAAATATTATTGTCAATGTTACTGACACTGACACTGTTGCTGTGACACTGTTGCTGTGACACTGTTGATGTGACACTGTTGATGTGCTATTGACCTCTATTACCAATCCTCCCATACTCTCGATTAAGAAGACTGGTGATTATCCACATCTCATTGAACCGGGAAATGTATCTCACCACCGGCAGAGGACTACTCCAACTCTGGTACACTGTGGTGGTGATGGGCACAAAAAACATATCCTTGAAATTCAATCCTATTTGGTACACTATATCTTTAATATTAGTCAAAGGGAGTTCTAGAAGATTTGACACTTTGAAGTACTTAAACAATTCATTGGCTACAATCTTAATATGCACAAGGATCCCATGATACATCAATTGATGAGTAGCAGTATCATTTAATCCCAACATGAACTTATATTGAGTATCAGTAAATTCCAAATTGGTTTTCAAGGTCAAATACGTCAACGTCGTATGATTACAAACCCCCATAGTGAAAATACTATTCTCTAAGTACTCTTCTACTAACTCTTTAAGCTCAGTATCATATTTGACAAGTTTGGCTACAAATATATCCATTATTGTGGTTGTAAAGAAATTTCTCAGTTTATGCCATCAATTGAACACAAAACCTTACCTAGAGATGATGGGATTTGTTTCCCTAATCTTTGTTTTATCCCTTTACATTTTGAAGTTTGTTCATTAGCCCAGTGTCGTAGTGAATTAGCTAAATCAAGTTTTAATAGAATCCTTGGTGGTAATGGCACGACCATCAATCAACTTCAACAACAGATATACCCTAAGATCAAGCAAGATTTCATTTCTATAGTGTACAAAAGACAACTTAAAGAGGAATTGAGAGGTTTAGGGTTGGATTTTGATGCTTATAGGGCCGGTGGTTTCGATACCAGAGAAATCAATGAAAGATTTGGTCTACCTCGAAATAAACGAATTTACCTTCATGAATGTGATTATATGGACTTTAAATCCCAAAGTTTAACCACCATATCAAGAGAATTGACCGAAGACATTCCTTTTTTCTATCAGTATTATAATGCTGACGAGTTAGAGACGAAATTCTTGGATTTCATATATTACTTTAAGGTAGACTTGGAGTTGAGTATGAGGTATGACTTGGACATTGATGCTAGGATGAAGTATACGAATGTGTTTACGAGGACTCGCTTTAGTGTCTACGGGGACTCGCTTTAGCGAGGAGTCCCTTAACGAGTCCCCTGACGAGTCCCTTAACAAGGACATCCAATAACTCCGTCTAACACATGATAACTCCGTCTGACACATTCAGTGATAACTTCGGTAAAAGAACACCTACACGTACATTAATACATTTATTTTACACATCTACAGAAACTCTCTGGTTTGCTTATTATAAAAAGGATTATTAGACTTGGTGTCACTATCCTCCAACATCTTCTTTACCCAAGGTAATCTCCTATATCTATTATGTTGACTTATCTTGTTGAAATATTCAATCCATTGGAACTTCTCTTTCATTGAAGGAGCGCCAAAATCAATTAATTCTCCATTAGCAAATTTAATTTTGAAACTTTCAGGTACTAACAAGACATCACTAAAATCACGAGTCTTCTTGGTACCAGTAGATTTCGAATCAACATAAATCACATCAATAACTTTAGATAAATTGATTTTAGCTCTAGTTTTATGATTCACTTCACTATAAGCTATTAAAGAAGCACCTTTTAATTTGAAATATCTCCGTTTCCAACTTTCACAATCACCTCCATCTTGATTCATATATCCTTCAAATTGATAAGTTTTCTCTTCTTCTATTTGATCAATAACATCATAAGCTGATTTAATACTACTAGGTAATGATTCATGTAATTCCGTTCGAGGAATATATAACATCTTAACTTCAAGATTTCCGATTACGTAAGGTTTGGCCTTAATATTACCCGATTTGGTAATTATGGTTTCCCATTCATTGAAACATGGAATATCAAAAGAATTAGCAGTATAATTGATTTTCAGTTCATATTGAGCTAAATCAACATAACAACGAGCAAATGAACCATCAGGAGCAAATTTAGAATCCCATGGATCTACAGGATCAGATGCAACAAATTTCGTAGTAGTAATGATATCTTTAGAACCAAACATTCTACTAAGTCTACTTTTAGATTTAACAATCTTTCTTTCTTTAACTTCTACCAATTTCCCTTTAGGTTTTTCATAAGTCATTTTCATAGTTAAGATGAATTCCAAACTATCACCGACCATCAATTCAAATTCTTTACCTATTGATACCTTAGAATTTTCAAATTTATAGTTAGGGGTCTTAATACAATGAACACCATTATCTAACGTTACAGAGAATTCTCCATTATGACCTTCAATATCAGGTAAATTGATATTTTTCAATCCCACCACTCGGAAGAATAATCTTCCTCTTTCCATAGATCCAGTATTTTCCCGTATAACACTTTCTTGAATAGAATGTTGTTTCCATGAAGGATTCTTTGAATGGTTTAACAAGGTTTTGGATGAAGCTGTTGAAGGTTCAGTAACATTTGAGTATACTGAAGGTACGGAAACCACCACGGGTTTTTCTAAGGATTTAGTAGGTAAATGAACACTTTCTAAACGATTTTCTTTATCTTCGTCTTGAACCAATTGTCCATATCCTTTACCTTTCTTCATAGTATGATTATTTTGATCTAATACCACTGAAGTAACTGTTGACCCCTTTTTAACCAATTTAATAGGAGAAGTGATCTTTATAGGACTCTTGGTTTTCTCTCTTGGAGGAGTTTTGAAAATACCTCTATGTAAGATTTCCGGATCAGGATTTGGTAAATCATCATCACTATCTTCTAAGATATCAGTCTTAAGAACGGTTTCTTTACTGGCAACTCGAGATCCATTAGTATAAAGATCAGAATCATTAAATACTTGATCTTTAGAAGTTAAAGCCATTGGATTCTTCATCAACTCATTAGCTAAATGAGGTAATACTTCATCATCATGACTTGAATTGATATCATAGATAGAAGCCTTTTGACTAGCTGAATCAAATTTATCAACAGATCCTTTCTTACCTACTAATTTCAATTGAGAGTATTCTTCTTGACTAATGATTCTTTTGGTACTCAAAATCTTCTGTACATCTTCTTTATCCATACTTGGTAAAGTTTTCATACCTGAACCTTTGATGGTGATGGAATTGTTAATAGCTGATTCATCAAAAATGTCATTATACTTATCTCTGGTGTTTAATTTTGAATCTGAACGTTTGATTTCGAAGGAAGGAACTTTAAATTTGGATTTCTTTCTTTCCATTGGTTGGGAAGGTAACGAAGGTTTTAAGGTTTTTGGGTAAGTTTTTGGTTTCAAATATTCAATTTCAAGACTTTTTTGATCGTGGTGGTCAGCTGATTGGTCAAGTATATCATCTTGTTCGACGAGTTGTTCCATATCTTGTTCCACGTCTTCGTTGAGAATATTCTTATCACTCAAAGGAGTTCTGCTTAATCTACCACTAGTATTATAATCAATAACATGTTGGAATTGACCTACAAAACCAGAATCTTGAGATAATTCAGGTAAAAAGTCAGTGACATTCAAATCAACATCATGAGGACTAACCACCCGTCTAGACATCACATTGACTTCTTTGAATTTCTTATCTTTGACTGTGGAAGGAAGTTTGAAATCTTGAGCTGATGGATCATAGATACTGATATTACTGGTGTTGATGGGTTTCTTACTCACAGGATGATGGTTTTTACCTTGAGAATGCCAGATACTCAAGAAGTTGGTTGGCTTGGTAGGTTTCTCTTCATCGAATTCAGCAGACAATGATTGTTCGAAATCATCGGACTGGTTAAGATTTCTGGTGATTTCTTCAAAGGAGGAGTAATTGGTAGGTTCAATAGGAGGAAGGGTTATTTCTTCTGGAGCAACGTTGGTGGAATTAGCGAGGATTTCTTTATCTTCATCGTGATGTAATACAGTATCGAAGGAAGTTTCATGGGGTTCTCTGTCAACTTCATTTTCTGCCTTCTCTACACTTTCTGCCTTCTCTACGCTTTCTACCTTCTGTACACTTTCTACCTTCTCTTGTACCTTCTGCACACTTTCCAAAGGAACCTCATCTTCTATCTCCTCAACGTCTCCGATTTCAACAGGCTCTAACGGTTCTTCCTTGGAAGCAGAAACCGAACTCAATGAAACTGTAGGAGCTGATGTCAAATTCTTGATTGAAGGTACAAAAGATTTCCTTATGGGGGACCCTTGGAGTTGTAATTGTTCTTGTTCTTGTCTTACAGTGGTAGTAGGTAACTTAGATGGTTCTTTATCTTGAGCAAATCCCGAGTCTCTACTCATTCTAACAGGTGTTGGAGGATTAGTGGCATCAATAGCAATATCTACCTTTGGAATCTTAACAGGAGATTCCAGAGATCTTGGAGGTGCTAAAGATCTTGGAGATTCCATAATCTCTTGAGATGAATTAGGAGAAAAGTTAACTTCCAATTCCTTCTTCAAGAAATCTGGTCCTATTTTAGTATCAGCTTGACTTATCATGGTGACATCGTTGTTGGTATAAATATCGTTATCTTCTTTATCACCATCTTCACTGTATTCCAATTTCCAATCATCGTCGACATTGTGTCTGATATCCAAGTGAGGTGAGAGGTTTTCGTCGTCTTCATCAGCATCGTCTTCGTCGGCTTCTACGTCGGCTTCATCAGCATCGGTATCGATATCTTCAGGAGTTTGAAGTATAGGTCTTTCGATTTCTGTTTTAAGTTCTGTGAATTCTGACTTAATGGTGGGTTCAAAGAAAGGATCAAATTCATCTTTGACGGTGATTTCTTTCTTGATCACAGGATCTTTGGTTTGGTCTGTTTCTTTGGTTTGGTGGGTTTCTTTGGTTTGGTCGGTTTGCTTGGTTTCGCTAGTTCCTTTGACTTCTTCGGTTTCTCCCTTGGCTACCGGCTCAAGTAAATTCATTATAGATTGTTCGGTATTATAATCATCAAATGAATCATGATACTCATCAGAAAAGCTCCCCATGGTCCCCACAGTTATCATCGATAACCTATTAGAGGTCGATTTGGGCATCATCAACATCCCTGACTCATCAGAAACATCTCTTTCCGGTTGAGTAACCAATTCTTCATTAGCCAATTGTTCAACCAAATCATTGGAAAATCCATGAATCCCATCATTCAATTCTAATCCTTTATTACCTTTGTGTAACTTATTCATTTCCAACGATCTATTGTTATCCAATAATGACTGTAAACTGGATTGGGAAGACCCAGCTGACCTTAAAGGTACTTCATTGGATTTAGATAAGGAATTAAGGGGATTTTCCACGTTAGAATGGTAATCTTGCAAGTTTAACGATAAGTTCTGGATATTCTCATTGGTCTGGAGTTGTGTGGAAGTATCCAAGTTGGACAAATGTTGATCCAATTCATCTTTCAGGTTGGAATCTAAGAATAATCCCAATTTTTCATTCAATGAAATCTTATCTTGATTAAGTTTGAATCGATGCAATGTTTCATTCTTATTGAGTTTCTTGAAGTTTTCATCATTTTCATTATCTAAAGCAGTTTTGTGTAAGTTTTCAGCAAAGTTGTTTAATGTTACAGTATGAGGTGGAGGTACTGGAGGTTCATCTTCTTCAACTAAATTCCATTGATGGTTTAAAGTTTGTTCTATTTTATCACTGAATTCCATGTTATCATGAGAATCTTCCAGTTGATCATGGTAATGAATGACTTGGGGGTTGTTTTGAGTAAATACTACGTTTTTTCGGGGTGAAGAATTAGGGGTCTTCTTCATGATGGATTTACTGGGGGATTGAGGTTTTAACGTCGTTGTGGCATCTACTTTGACACTATCATTATCACCAATCTCCCTAATGTCTCCAACACTATCGGTATTATCACTTTTATGAACAAACAGAAACTCATCATTATCAATCTTCAACGTTTGAATAGTCCGATTGATATCTTCAGTATCAAAGTTCCTATCGAATGAGTCCATGGCTGGCTTATCTTGTTTGTCTGGTTCAGTATAAGTATCGCTAGAACTCAATTCTTCTAAAAAAAAAATGTTAGTTTCGAGATATTGTTTTGATTTACTTTCGTGTCGCTATTGTTATGAGTGTTCAAGGGAATTTGCCAGGGGAATGTCTGAGTATGCCCCTAAGTTGCTTACCTTCAATCTATTGCTAACCACACTTTGTTACTTTACATACCATTGATATTACTACAATCGTTGTGTACTATGTTCATTAGACAGAAATGATGTTTTGTTTACCTTTTTGACCAGTGCGACCAAAATATCCCAAAACAGAAATCCATCGCCATCACCGAATTTATGAGTCGCGCACGTCTAGGGTTCACCTATTGTTTGAACCGATTGCTGTGAAACGTGAAAATCCACCGGTGGTACGAAAAAAAAACAGTGAAATCTAGTTAAAAAAGACGGTTTAGAAGGTCGGAATAACATTGGATGTTGGAAAAAGTGAAAATGAAAACAGATTTTAACTCGATTAGTAACCTCATCGCCTCTTATTTGAGCACTGAATATGGCTTTTTGGAACAGTTTTCTCAACTTATTGAAAGGTTTTGGCAGGTATTAAGCTATGAAGTTGTCAAATGCATGTAAAACCCATGAGAAATATCAATTCTCCGGGTAATTTTACTACCATCTTCACCCACTAAAGAGGTCCCAAAATTGCCCCCTCGTCAACGCGAATCTGCTGCAGGTGGTACCTTAAATTCACGAGCACTGATACGACATAACAATTTCAGTTTAAAAACTGACGATTCCCAGCTTTTTTTTTCTTTCGTTTCTACAAATCTAATGTACTGGAAATCTTTATACCCATTAGCTTTAGCCTTGGCTGTTAAAGCAGAATCTTCAGCCTCATGTTCATTCGATGATGCTACCATGACAGCAGCTGCAAGTATTAGTCAATTAGCTTCATGTCCTACATTAGAAGGTACTTTAGAAATTAGTGGTGATGGTATTGGATCTTTAGATTTATCATCAGTTGAAGAAATCAAAGGTGATGTTCATATCTTCAATTCTTCATCAGCTACTGATATTAACTTAAACCAATTAGGAAAAATTAGTGGTTCTTTAAGTATTGATGCTTTAACTCAATTACACGTCATTGATTTCACTAAATTATCCCAAATTGAAGATTTAAGTTTAATTTCTTTACCTTCATTATCAACCATTAACTTAAATACTGGGATCTCCAAATTAGGTAACTTGAAAGTTTCCGATACTGCATTATCTGATTTAAGTGGATTGATTGGACAAATCACTTCTGTTAATCAATTAGATGTTGATAACAATAAGAACATTACCCAATTACAATTAAATAACTTACAAGAAGTTACTGAAGGACTTATTCTTAGTTTCAATGGAGATGATTGTGAAATTTCTTTGAATTCTTTACAATATGCTTCAAATTTGACTTTACAAGATACTGGTTCAATTTCTGCTAGTAACTTATCATCAGTTAATGGGTCGTTGATTATTGCTTATAACAAATATGATTCATTTGAATTACCAGTTGAAGAAGTTGGTGGTGCTTTACAAATTTTCGCCAATGATGATTTAACTGATTTCTCCTTAGGTAACTTAACCAAAGTTGGAGGTGAAGTTAGAATCTTCAACAATTCAGAATTAGAGGATATGAGTGAATCCTTTGCTTCATTGAAATCTATTAAAGGAGCTGTTAATATTGAAGGATCATTTTCAAATTTAACTATGCCAGATTTAGAAGAAGTTGATGGTGATTTCACTGTTAAGACCGATAATGAAGATTTTGATTGTAAGGAATTCAAGAAATTACAATCATCTAAGAAGATTGAAGGTCATAACTTCAAATGTATTGCTCCAGAAAAGAACGCATCAGTTTCAGGTTCAGCTTCTTTGGCTACTGAAACTTTTGATGCTTCAGGTTCAGCTGATGATGATGAAGATGAAGAATCATCATCAACCAAATCTGATTCTGGTGCTGGGTATTTAGGTAGTGGTATAGTGGCGGTATTTTTGACCACTTTATTTAGTGTTTTAATTTAATACATTGTTTCTCTGAGGTTTATCGTACAGAGTGACGAGCTCTTTGGCGAGAGGGTGTCCGAGGGGCTCTCTCCCGATAGCTCTAGAGAGGACGTGAGAGAAGGCTCTAGAGAGGACGTGAGAGAAGGCTCTAGAGAAGGCTCAAGAGAGAAATAATGAAAGTTTCTAATCTTATAGGCTAGTTCGTCAGCTCTCGCTGCTTCCGGAGTAATTGGGACTACAATTGTTACCTGTGTACTAGTCCCTGGTAAGTACCTAGAGTGACCCAAAGGACAAGAAGATCAAAGACACGGTTGAGCACCTGTTTAAGCACCTGTTTAAGTATAAGAAAGTATAAAGCCCGGTCCCTCCAAAGAATGTCAGCTGAACTCATCTCATCCATACAAAAAGACAGCTCATCCACAAATTCATACCATAACCATTTGTCATCCATTCAAAAGAACTCCATTCAAAAAAACTCCATTTGTTTCATAATTGAATCTCAAAATCACATGACTGATCACATGACAAAACCCTTTATAACCCCTTTAACAAAGACGTGATTTTCACCATCTTACCCAAAAACTTCAACCACTACCAACTATTTCCAACCCCAAAGACCCCCCTTCCATCCCTTCCAACTCTAAATCCCATGCGTTCCCATGCGTTTCACAGCCCCTGCTAAAATTATCTTTTGTTTACATTATTTCCCTTTACGTTAAATTGATCGCGATACAGAAAAACTTCACAAAAACCTGAAACTTTTACCAAAATCCCCCAAATGACTGAAACCATCATTGATTCATTCAAACAAGCAGGACAAAACCATTTGTTCAAGTATTTCCAATCTTTGACTCACCAACAACAGGAAAGTTTCTTAGATCAACTTTCAACCATCGATGATCCAATTCATTTGATCTCCACTGTTAAGCAAGCATTAAATTTTAGTAGTAGTAATGGTACTAAATCTTTCAGTCCTTTACCAAAAGCTCAAACTGCTTCTACATTGGAATTAGATGATCATTTAAGAACTACTTGGTTTGATCTGGGTTTAGAAGCTATTAGTAATAATGAAGTAGGGGTTTTATTAATGGCTGGAGGTCAAGGTACAAGATTAGGTTCTAATGATCCTAAAGGATGTTATAATATTGGTTTACCTTCAGGAAAATGTTTATTTGAAATCCAAGCAGAAAAAATCTTGAAAATTCAACAATTAGCTGGTACCAAACATGGTAAGGAATGTTTGATTCAATGGTATATAATGACATCTAAACCTACTAGAGAATCAACTGAACAATATTTCAAATCTCATGATTATTTCGGTATGAAAGAACTGCAAATTACCTTCTTTAATCAAGGTACTTTACCATGTTTCAATTTAGATGGATCTAAGATCTTAATGGAAGATACTTCCAAGATTTGTGAAAGTCCTGATGGTAATGGAGGTTTATATAAAGCCTTAGAACTTAATGGATTAATCAAAGATTTCGAAACCAAAGGTATTAAACATTTACATATGTATTGTGTTGATAATATTCTAGTTAAAGTAGCTGACCCATTATTCATTGGATTTGCTATTGATAAGAAACTTTTGTTAGGTACTAAAGCTGTTAGGAAAAGAGATGCTTGTGAAAGTGTTGGATTAATTGTTATGAATGAACAACTTCAAAAACCTTGTGTTATTGAATATAGTGAAATTTCCCAAGAGTTAGCCAATAAGAAAGATCCTCATGATGAATCGAAATTATATTTAAGAGCTGCCAATATTGTTAATCATTATTATTCGGTTGAATTGTTGAAACAAATGGTTCCTGAATGGATTAAATCTCAAGATCATTTACCTTTCCATATTGCAAAGAAGAAAATTACTTCATTAAATGATGAAGGATTAGTAGTCAAACCTTCAGAACCAAATGGTATCAAATTAGAACAGTTCATTTTTGATGTTTTCACATCAATTGAATTATCGAAATTTGGATGTTTGGAAGTTGATAGAGCTTCAGAATTTTCTCCTTTAAAGAATTCCGTAGCTGCTGCAAATGATAATCCTTTGACTTGTAAGAGAGATTATTTAACTTTAGGAACAAACTGGGTAGTTAAGAACGGAGGGATTGTTAATGGATTAGTTGAAGTTAGAGGATTAACAAGTTATAATGGTGAAGGATTAGAATTTGTTAAGGGGAAGACCTTCAACGATGGTGATATCATTTAATATAGGTAGGAGTTATTTTGTCCCCTGGTTTTTGGTCTCGGTCTCTTTTACTCTCTGTTACTTGCATTGGCACCGGCTTTGGCTAGCTCTCTGGTGCTCTCTGGCTCTCTGGTGGCTCGGGCCCTGGCATTGGCATTGGCACTCTCTGGCTCTGGTGCTCACTCCCTCTTTATCACGTTATCGATTGACCTCCAATGCCTTCGGTACCCCCACGACACCGATCTGGTACGTAAACGACTCAGGTCGGTTTATGTTCAACCCGTTGTTCTAGATCAGTCGGAATTTAACAACCTGGCCTTACTGTACCGTGTATCTCCCCGTTAGGTATTGTCCAAACCTTAATCTCAGACAACTCCCCTTGGGCCAACAAAGTTTCCAAACAAAAATCTCTTCATCTCCTGTAATCCCCCATCATAGCCCTTTTAACTTCTTTGCTTCGCAAACATTGCCATTCCATCCTCTAGTCGTTATTAACACTATCGACGTCATAATTCATACCGACTCATTACCGTCATATCGTCACATAACACTTGCTCAGAGATATCCCCCAAAACTTAAACCGCGACTTTTGCTGCAAAATTGAACCGAGAATTGTTTGCTTTCATTGATCATGGTCAGAAGAAACAGTAATGCCCCTACACATCCTGTCATTGGTACCATAGATATTGGTACCACCTCCGCCAGAGCCATCTTATTCAATGATAAAGGTGAAGAATTAGCTAAACATCAAATCGAATACAGTACAAGTGCTTCAGAAGCCCCAGATGAAAGTTCAAATACTGATCAATTCAGAAGAAGATCTTCTTTAATGAGACATAATCAACCTATTTTCACTGCTGAAGGGGTAGCTATCTCCATTAATGATGATATTGAAATTGAAAACAATAAAGCCAGTGTTGGACCAACTTTAAGATTCCCTCAACCTGGATGGGTTGAATGTATGCCAGTTCATATTTTAGCCAATGCAGTTCAATGTCTTATTGCTTGTTTAATCACTTTAAGAAAGATTAATCTGAATCCTAACTTGAAAACAAAATATAGAGTCAAATGTATTGGTATTGCTAATATGAGAGAAACAACTATTGTTTGGTCAAGAAAGACAGGTAAACCTTTAAGTAATGGGATTGTTTGGACTGATACTAGAACTTCAGAAATCGTCCAACATTTAGAGAAATTAATCGATGATGATAAGAAGAAAGAATTAAGAGAAAAGACAGGTTTACCATTATCGACATATTTCTCAGCAGCTAAATTGAGATGGTTATTAGATAATGATGATATTATTAGAGAAGAATATGAAAAGGGTGATGGGAACTTAATGTTTGGTACTATTGATACTTGGTTAATTTATCATATGACTAAAGAAAAGAGTTTCTTAACTGATATTTCCAATGCTTCTAGAACTTATTTCATGGATATTGAAACTGGAGAATATGATGATGAATTATTAGAATTTTGGGGGGTTGATCCTTCTAAGATTAGATTACCAAAGATTGTTTCAAGTTCAGAATTCTATGGATCTTTTGCTTCACCTAATTTCCAAAATTTAGGGTTCCATAATAAAATTACTAATGAAGCTTATGAAATTTTGAAAACTATCACTGGTGTACCGATCTGTGGGTGTCTTGGAGATCAATCTGCATCATTAGTTGGACAATTGGCTTTTAAATCTGGTAGTGCTAAATGTACTTATGGTACTGGAGCTTTCTTATTATATAATACTGGTACTAAGAAATTAATTTCATCTCATGGGGCTTTAACTACCATTGGTTATTGGTTTAAGCATCTTCAAGGTGAAGATAATAAACCTCATTTTGCTTTAGAAGGTTCAATTGCTGTTGCGGGATCGATTATTCAATGGTTAAGAGATAATTTGAAATTAATTGAAAATGCTAAAGATATTGGACCGTTAGCATCGCAAGTTCCAAATAGTGGTGGAGTTGTATTTATTCCAGCATTTTCTGGATTATACGCACCTTATTGGAATGGAGGGGCAAGAGGTACAGTTTTTGGTATGACTCAATATACTTCATCAAGTCATATAGCCAGAGCAGCTTTAGAAGGTGTTTGTTTCCAAGTTAGAGCTATTTTAAGAGCTATGGCAGGAGATGCTGGAGCCAGTGAAGATTTCTTAGAAACTGCGTTATCAAGTCAAAATGAATCTAAACCTTTAAGTTCTTTAGCAGTTGATGGAGGGATGTCTAAAGCTGATGAAGTTTTACAAATTCAAGCCGATATTTTAGGTCCTTGTGTTACAGTTAAAAGAGCTCCAATATCTGAATGTACAGCTTTAGGAGCTGCTATAGCTGCCGGTCTTGGGTTTGAAGATGAAGAAGATAGAGTTTGGTCTTCATTAGATGATGTTATTACCAAATTAGGTAGTTCAGTAGGTGATGATAATTTATTTAAAGCTAAATTACCTGATGAAGATAGAAGAAAGTTCTGGAAACGTTGGGAAAAGGCTATTGATAGAGCTAAAGATTGGTTAGAAGATGAATAGAGGGGATAAGATTAGGTGGATAAAGAGATTAGGTGAACCAACAACTACCGATTAGGTGAGTAATTAGTAGATGAATAAACAGCTTAGTAGATGAATAAACAGAGCTTAGAATCCTTAACAGAGCTAAACAGAGCTTAAGAGACCTTAGAAACCTTGACAGTGTAATTAACTTTCCTATTCGGGATAAATTCTAAATATCCTCAAGTCTCTCGCACGTGATGCGCGATAGTTTTCAATTGCTTCACAAATCACACTCTTTTCTAAAACTTGAAACTTTCAACAATCTGAAACGACACAACTTCAATTATGTTTGGAATTACTACAAAGATCTTAATTATTACTATTATTTCAATATACTCATCGTATTTATTCTTCTATAAATGTGAAAATGTTGGATTATTAGATTATTTACATCCTTTGAATCACCACCAAGTTAAATTCTGTGCTAACTTGAATAGTTTTGAAGGATTTGTTTCTCCTTATTTCAAAGCTTCTGGGGACTTTATTGAAAAATCTGTATTTGAACATGATTTGGTTAAACAATATGGTGTTAAAGGTCATGTTGATAGTGTTGTTGGTCATTTCAAACACCATCTTGGTCCTTTAGTTGAAAAATTATTCCAATTCATTGAATTTATTGAAATTAAATTATACGATGGTGCTAGTGATTTATATGCTCATGGTGTTTCTTTATATAAACTGAAGTTTGCTTAGATTCATGGAGTGTTACCTTTGAGGTTTATATGTTGAATATATATTATTTTAAATGTCTCTAATGGGTGGCGATGAAGGATGGTGGTCCATAGGTGGTGATGAAGGGTGGTGATAGTGAATGGTGGGGTCAAGGGGACAGCAAGGAGATCGTAGAGCAATCGGCGTCCCATAGCAACACTTTAATATACATTAATCTTCGGGATCTATATCGACATCAGTATCAACTTCGATATCGTCGATTTCTCCATCAGAAGGAATGGCAATATCGTCATATTCTTCTTCTTCTTCTTCTTCTTCGTATTCTTCTTCTTCGTATTCTTCTTCTTCAACTTCTTCTACTTCTTGTTCTACTTCCTCTTCTCCAGCTTCTTCAACTTCTTGTTCTGCCGCAGTTTCCACCGGTTCATCTACTGGAAGTATAGAAACATCTTGTTCTTTAGCTTCATCCACTGGAAGGATAGAAAATTCTTCTTCTACTGGCTCTTCTACTGGCTCATCTACTGGAAGAATGGAAAATTCTTGTTCTACTGGCTCCTCAATCTCCCCAGCCTTAGCCTCCTTCAACCGGGCTTCTTCAGCTTCTCTCAATTGATAACTAATATTAGCTTTGGCTCGGATCAATTGTAAGTATTCATTGTTATCTTGATGTAAGAAATTAATGTGCATGGTGATTTCTGATAAGAATTTCAACCAATTTGAAAAATCCGAATCAGTCAACTTATCATACTGTTTATTCTTCAAGTAATGAGACTGGTCAAAGATGAAATCTCTCTTATCAAATAATAAATTCTTCAAATTATTGAACTTCTTCCATGATTGCCAATTAAAAGTTTCATCTTTTGAATCTTTAATCACTTGAGTCAATTCATTAGAGAAGTTGGTGAATGAAGATTCAGCAAAAGATTCAAGAATATTGATGGTCTCTTGAATGATTGAAAGATATTCATTGATCAAACTTTCAAAACTTTCATTAATTATACCTTCAATCTTATTAAATTGATCTTCATTGAATTGTCTACAATCAGCAATGACATCTCTCATATCTTGTCTACTAACAACTTCAGTATAACTATCAATACCTGATTCTTTCAAGTTAGACAAATCTTTATCGATCTTAGAGATCAATTCATGGGATTTCTTATAGAAATTATAATTCTCCTTTTGAATAAATTTGAAATTTTCTGTCAATTCAGGTCTGATTCTCTCAATAGTGAAGTTAATCTTTGGATTTATTTCATTAGAAATGTTGATTAATGCTAAATCAATGGTTCTGTTGATTTGTTGTTCGAAATTATTGATCAATTGGTTAATTTCATTCTCAATGGGTAATCCTGTAGACATAACTTCATAGATAGTTGAAGTTAATCTGATAGTTATTGGTTCTTCATCATCGGATTCTTCATTCAAAATATCATTGGCAATATCTACAACATTACTAACATCGATATTAGGTTTAACTTTCTTGATCTTTCTATGATACAAACTTTTGAATTCACTCATTAAGAAATTCTTCTTATTAACAATATCGGTAGATTGAAGGAACTTACCGAAGAACTCTTCTACGTAATTGTAAACAATGTTAACGTAGATATTCACATAGGTTCTGTAGAATGAAGAATTGATAACAAACAATTTGAATTCATAGAACTTTTGACAAACAACCATCTTGAATTGATTGACATAAGGAAGTGTCTGATAATACCAAAGTTGAACTTTGGCTGCATAGATCTGAAGATGTAATTTGATCTTAGGTACCACAAAGTAAGTGAAATAATTAATACGGGGCTTGATAAAGATCTTATACCTGAATTCAAGGTTATCGATGATGGAGTTGATGTTTTCATGATTGATCTCATCAATTACCTTACAATTTGAATTGAGGTAAGTATTGGAAACGGTGTTGAAGAAATCTATGGAAGTTGGAGATTGAAGACTGTCGATACGTGGACAGATCAAGTATTGGAAAGCTCCAATGTATGATAACACTATGATTGGTATTAAGGGTAAGAACTTCAACATGTGTTAAATGCGCGACTCATCAACACAATCCATCACCATATCATTCCATGGAATTGGTATGTACTGGCCATGGAATTGGGGGTTGAGAAGGGTTTAGAGGTTTTAAGAGGTCTTGGGATAGGTTCACTTGAAAGTATAGATATGGAGGTCACGAGGATAATCACCCTCAAGATCACGAGTGGATCACGAGCAGATCACGGGTTTATCCTATGTATATGGAACATTCTCGGTGTTCAGGTGTTCATACCATCGACTCGTCAATCCAAACGACCCAATTAAGGTCCATTGCCACCCCTTTATCACCTATTCAACAATCCCACATATCAATTTATCATCCAACTAAGCAACCATCTCAGCAACCAACTCAATTCGAAACTTATCTTATCTATGCTTCAGCATAATCCAGCCTCATTCCAACGCCCAATTGTCGAACTTACGACAATCATTGCTCGTTAGATACTACCACTTACGACAACAATTCCTCGTTAGATACTGCCACTTCCGATAATATTCCGCTTAGGCTTCTGTGCTTAACTTTCCGATGAAAGGAATTAAATCTCCGACCACCCAACTAACCACCATTCCACTCCAACATCTCACCATTCACCTTCACCTTCATCTCTACTTCACCTTCACCTTACCTCCCACATAATCAGCTAACACCTCCACCTCGTATACCGGTAGTGTGAGTTGGTAAAACCGATAAGAAGTGTGTCGTTATCAGCAAAATAAATTGGGTAATTTGATCCTTTGGAACGATCCCGATTCAGGTTTCGTAAACCTCCATCCATTCATCCTAAGATAACTACATCTGATGATGTGTTCAATTGTACACTTTCATAGCTCCTCAAGCTTTATCTTCCACTATCTTACTATGAATCTTATCTGATAAAGCCGGACTATTCTTATGGAATACACCAAAATCATCCAATGTCTTTCGGACTAAATAATCCACCCAACGCTATTGGTTTTCGGGCCTTTTCAGGATCGCTCACTTGCTATCAGGATTTCCATTTGCTGACTATTAGTCACATGCCATTGGTTCCATAGTAAAAGAATCACCGTAACCTCATGAAATCTAGGGGAATTCCAAATTTTAAAACTTGTCTACCATTAACCAATATCCATTCTACCCCCTAATTCAATTGTTTTTCACTTATCGTAACACCACTTACCTAAACTAGTTAATCTTATACCTCCTATCTTCACCTTTCTTATCCAGCTATCTGTAAAAATTGATTGGTTTAAATAATGTCGCACACCTGTGATAAAACCGGATGTCGCATCGATGAATCTTTTTTTTCCCTCAATTTAAAATAAATTGACTTCGCTCTCCCTTTAAGTTTATTCCTAAAAAACTTTCCATACAAACAAAAGAATAATGGTTCAAATTACTCAACAAACTGCAATCTTAAATAAATATTTAGATTTAGATCAAAGAGGTAATGTTTTAGCTGAATACGTTTGGATTGATTCCGAAGGTAACACTAGATCAAAATGTAAGACTCTTGCTAAGAAACCATCATCAGTTGATGATTTACCAGAATGGAATTTCGATGGTTCATCAACTGGTCAAGCTCCAGGTCATGATTCTGATGTTTATTTAAGACCAGCTGCTTTCTACCCAGATCCTTTCAGAAGAGGTGATAACATTATTGTTTTAGCTGAATGTTGGAACAATGATGGTACTCCAAATAAATTCAATCACAGACATGAATGTGCTAAATTAATGAAAGCTCATGAAGGTGAAAAAACTTGGTTCGGTATTGAACAAGAATATACTTTATTTGATGAATATGATCAAGTTTATGCTTGGCCAAAAGGTGGTTTCCCAGCTCCTCAAGGTCCTTATTATTGTGGTGTTGGTACTGGTAAAGTTTTCGCTAGAGATATTGTTGAAGCTCATTACAGAGCTTGTCTTTATTCAGGTATTAACATTTCTGGTATTAATGCTGAAGTTATGCCATCACAATGGGAATTCCAAGTTGGTCCATGTGAAGGTATTAAAATGGGTGATGAATTATGGATGGCTAGATATTTATTATCAAAAGTTGCTGAAGAATTCGGTGCCAAAATTTCTTTCCATCCAAAACCTTTAGCTGGTGATTGGAATGGTGCTGGTTGTCACACCAATGTTTCAACTGAATTAATGAGAAAAGAAGGTGGTATGAAATATATTGAAGAAGCTATTTCTAAATTAGCTAAAAGACATAAAGAACATTTATTATTATATGGTTCAGATAATGAATTAAGATTAACTGGTAGACATGAAACTGCTTCAATGGAAGCTTTCTCTTCAGGTGTTGCTAACAGAGGTGCTTCTGTTAGAATCCCAAGATCTGTTGCTAAAGAAGGATTTGGTTATTTCGAAGATAGAAGACCTGCTTCAAATATTGATCCTTATTTAGTTACTGGTATTATGATTGAAACTATCTGTGGTTCAATTCCTGATGCTGATATGTCAAAAGAATTTGCTAGAGAATCAAATTAAATTTAAGTGTATAATTGATGTAGAGAACCCTACTTAACTCTCGGACTTTTATTCCCTTTTGGTATGTTTTTATTCTTTTTCGGTTGATTCCTGGTATTGATTCCTGGTGTGTCGTACTGACTCATCAATGTAACTCGGCTTTATTATATATGCGGAACTGTTTGACTTGGTTCGGGAGTATCGTATTACTCTTGAAAGGACAAAATCTCTAAATTTATCGGTCTATTGACTTTGTTTGTGTGTCGTGAAACCTCCCTGATGCTACAAAATCCTCTGTGATCCCTCTTGTGTAAGGAATTTCCTTATCAGCGTTTAAAGCCTTTCCAGATTCCGTCGCATACGTCAAATCCTTTTGACATTGAAATATTTCCTTTACCTTTCACTCCACTGAACATTGAGTCATCATTGAGGAGGTCATTGAGTGTTTAAAGTTGCTACACCGAGCTATGGCCCTGAAGGTACAAACATAGAGTTTAGAGTTATTAAAATTTTCATAATGAAACCCTTTCCTTATAAATCAGTCACTGTTGTAGGACTAATGAGGTTCAGTGAACCCTTAGCTTTCACCAGTTTATTTCCATATATTTACTTCTATGTTAGAGATTTCGGAATCTCTCCTACAAAGGAAGGAATTGTATTTTATACTGGAGTGCTAACGTCGGTATTTTCCATCGGACAATTTTTATGTTCGGTCCATTGGGGTAGGTTAAGTGATAAGATTGGTAGGAAACCCGTGGTAATGATAGGTATAGTGGGTACGAGTTTGATGATGATATTATTTGGAGTGGCCAGGAATTTTTATGTTGCAGCCTTTGCACGGTTTATGATGGGATGCTTAAATGGGAATGTGGGGATATACCGGACTTCATTAGGTGAAATGGTTACTGATAGAAGTCAACAAGCTTCAGCTTTTATGGTGGTACCAATGATGTGGAACTTGGGGATTATTGTAGGACCAATTCTTTCGACATTCTTCTTGGGTCCTATAAATAAAGAGGAATTCAAACCTGGAGGTGAACATTGGGAAAAAATCACCGATTCCCCTTATTTGATGCCTAACTTGGTAGTAGCATTCTTCCTTTTCATTTCTCTCATTATTGGGTTCCTATTTTATGAAGAAACTAATGAGAAGGTTAAAGGAAGATATGATTTGGGGTTGGCAATCGGTGATAAGATTACTGGATTCATCATGAAACTTGGTTGGAGACGTAGTTCTTATGTTCCATTGACTCCACCTCCAGAAAGTTTGTTCGATATCGATTCCCCAGTACCAGCAATTAGACTAGAAGATTCCCCCCAAACTCCCAGACATAAATCAAGGGTACCGGCCATAGATGATGAATTAATGATCGAACTGACTTTAGATCCATCCTTGGATGAAGAACTGATGATTGAACTGACTATAGATGAACCAATAGATGAAGTTATGTTCACTCCTAATGTCATCAAGACCATCATGGCATATTTCATAGTATCACTTGAAAATGTTGTTTTCACCGAATTTCTTCCAGTATTTCTTGCCAAACCCGTTTCTAAGGACTTGTCCTTCCCCTTCCAGATGTCAGGAGGGTTTGGTTATACTTCTGAACAAATAGCTCATATTACTTCAAGTACTGGACTTATTGGATTTACGAGTATAGTATTGTTCCCCTATTTAGATAAGAATTTCGGGATAAAAGTTTACCAAATGGCATTATTTTGTATGACAATCGTTATAGGATACCTCCCGTTCATTATATTCTTAATACCTCAACATAGTCATCTACCATGGTATGTTTCAAGAGTTGTTATTTATGCTACAGCTTTGATATATCAATTTTCTTCGGCTATTGGTATACCTTCAATTACATTTTTAGTTCATTTAGTATCGCCTAAACAACATAAGGGAACATTGAATTCCCTTGCCTTAGGTTTAGGTGCATTGGCAAGGTTTTTAGGTCCGGTTATTTGGGGTGGGTTAATGAGTTATTTCGATGGTAAAAATCTTGGAGGAGTCTCTTGGTTCATATTATCTGCAATATGTTTCCTTGGGTTTGTTCATTCATTCACCATTAATTATGCTTAATATACGGAAATCGATTTATTTGAGGTATTCTATTTCTCTAGTCTATAGATTCTTATCTGAAAGTTCGTGCGCGCTTCACCGAAATTATCATCATGGTCGAAGAAGTATGTAAGGAAATGAAGGGACTAAACGATTGTTTGAGCGGATGAAAGAGAAAGGAGAAGTATGGGAAAGATTCATTGAATGGTAAGTTGTCAATATGTCAGTTTGTGTAGTGAATTAGACTGAATATGTGGATGTTAGTGTAACACTAGTATCGTCGTCTGTCGACTTTGGTCTGTCGACTACTAGTCTGTCTATTACACCAATTCAACTCGATCGGTTCTTAGCTATCTGACTATTGACAGGTTATCACATATCCTCCTCCCATACCATATCCCCCAACTTCTACCTCCCAATCCCCCAGCACAATTTCCCCCCACTCAATTCCCCCAGCACATTTACTAACATTCAGGTTGAAAGTCAATACTTAAGTGATCAAAAAAAGATCATTAGAGAAAGAATTATCCCTTGGGAAGGTTTAGCTAGAGCCAATATCATCAATGAAGACGAATCCAATTACATTAAAATCTTAGAAAAGCAAAGTAATGAAAATAAATTATCAACAGTTTCGAGTCAAATCAAATTATATTCCAATACTTTATTGAATTTATTGAACAAATTGGATATTAACTCAAGAGATGATGTTATCAAACATTTATTGGTATTAATCAATGATTTAATCATAAACTTGCCTGAATTTTCAGCTCAATTGAATGGTTTAAATGATACCGATAGTTTCTTACCTTTTGAACCATTTTTAAAACATTTAGATAACAATGATATTATTATCAAGAACTTGAGTTTATATAATGTGGTTTTATTGATCAATGAATTCCCTCATAAAGAAAAATTAGACAGTCAAATCATCGTCAAGATTTATCTGAAGATTTTATCCTTAATTGATTCCAATGATGTTAATTTGAAATTTTTGAATATTCAAATCTTAAACAAGTTGATCGTCAACAAAACCTTCAAATCAATCTTTATTGAAAACCTTGAATTCGATAATATCAACCATTTAATTGAAACTTCCAATAATGAATCGATGAATTCAAATAACTTACAATTGATGTACAACACCTTATTAACCATTTGGATATTATCATTCAGTGCTAAGTTTAATAAGAAGATAATAGTCAAATATCCCCAATTAATTGGGAATTTATTGGTCATTTCAAAGAATTCTATCAAATTGAAGATTATCAGATTATCCATTTCAATCTTAAAGAACTTTATTACCATTTGTGACCATGAAATTGATTCTTTCAAGTTCATTAAGATCATATTATTCAATGATGGTTTAAATATCATTACAAATTTGAAGTCTAGAAAGTTTTCATCAAATGGTTCAGATGAAGAATTAACTAATGATTTGAATGATGTTAATGATAAGTTGATTGATATAGTTAAGAACAAATTAACTTCATTTGATGAATATTTAACTGAATTAGAGAATCCTAAATTACTTAATTGGAATTCCCCAACTCATAAGTCCAATGAATTCTGGTTAGAAAATTGTAATAACTTTAAGAAGGATAATTATAAATTGATTTTGAAGATGTTCGACATTTTATCCAATGATTCCTCTAATATGGGTAAAATCATCATTTTGAATGACTTACAGTACTTAATCAATAACTTGGGTAATGAATTGGTCAGTTTTATTAATGAAAATAAGAAATTCAAGTTATTGATTATGGAGATGTTGGATAATTCAAGTGATAATGAGTTGAAGTATCAATCATTGAAGACCATTCAGTTATTAGTTGGACATTATTAAATAGATGTTTTCTTATAGGAAAGCCATGTCTCTGTTTCTCTTTTGAATTGACCTATGTTTGGTTTCACAGGTCATTTCTCTGGTCACTCCATGTCTGTCTACTCTTATATTGACTGTGTAAGGTCCCAATTACTCCCCTGACTTTACAGTGACCCAATTACTCCCTAGCTTTACAAGGTCCCAACATCTTTATCTTCAGATCTCGCATTCCAAGCGCGACATGAAAGGTTCTCAGTTTAAAGATACAAGATTTGAATCCTTCTTTGGTCGACATCAATGGACCTATTCCACCCCTGGGCCGGAGATTCTAAGTACCACAGGGTTCTTCTTCAATCCCAATAAAAAATATCCCGATAAAATCACCTGTTTCCATTGTAATAACCATGAAACTAATGTTGAAAATATCCACAAGGTTCATGAACAACACCTTCTAAGGTTTGATTGTGAACTTTCTTTGATCTATAGTCATATCCTTTACTATCAAGGAGAGTTAAATGATGATGTAAAGATGAAAATTCAAGTTTTTGATGATCCCTTAAGTGAAGAATGTAAGAAAATACGATTGAGTACATTCAAGAAACCTTTCAAGTGTAAGAAACAGCCTAAAGATCTTGCCAATGCTGGTTTCTTCATGAACTTATTGGTGGAAGGTATCAATGATAGAGTGGAATGTATGTATTGTGGAGCTTCATTAGAAGCTTGGGATAAAATTGATGATCCCATCAAACTCCACATTGAATCAAGTAGTAGGCCCTGTTTATTTTTGGATTATTATAAACTTCAAACTGATAAAGAAACAGCTGAATTGATAGAGAATAGGTTCAAAACCAACAGAGAGTCTTTCAATCAGTCACAAGAAGCTTTAATAGTTGATTCTCAGACATCTAAAATAGGTTCTCAGTTCAAATATGATAGTGCATTTTCTGATGATGATATTGATGATGAACCTTTCACACCCACTCAATATTCTCCAATGACTCCTACTCAATCACAATCCCAAAAGACCCAAGATTTTAGTGATTCTGTTGATGAACAAACTGATAGTGAATCGATGATTGATTCTCAAGATGATTATGGATCTATTGAAAGTAAGAGTAACCCAAGGTATGAGAAATTACTTAAGGAGAGAGAACAAATGAATGCACTTTATGATAGCGATGGTGGTGTCAGTGAACCAGATGTGAATGGTGGAAATATAGAAATTGTAGATTCTTTGAGTGATGATATTGAGGAAAGTGATCATATGGAGGTTGACGAGAATTCATACAAAAAGGTAGAAGTAGAGAAGAAAGACACAAAAGACAAGAAAGAAACAAAAGACAAGGAAGAAAATAAAGAAGATGAAGAGGAAATCTCCGAGGATTTTGATATAGTAGAGGTTGAAGCTACCAACCCCGAAACCAAACAATCTAATGATAATGATAATGATAATGAAAATAATGACCATAAAAGACCAAAAGGTAGGAAGACCAAACGGATAGATTTGGACCAGGAACAGATTGAGCCAGAACCAAAAAAGAAGAAACCCACCAAAGGAAATAACAAGCCCACTAAATCTAAAAGAAATACTGAAATTCCAACCGAACCAGTTAGACGAAGTAAAAGGGTTAGAAACAAAACTAATCAAATCGAACAGCTTGATCAATTCAAAGTTTATTCTCGAAACAATTCGATGGAAGTAACTCAAGATTCTATCGAGAGTTCTCAAGGTTCTGAGGTACCCCCTGATTCAATTGAAGAGTCTCAAGATCATGAGTTTCATGATCATGAAGATGAAACTTTCAGAGAACTGGAAGATGATACTAAGCAACTGGAAGAACCTGTTAAAGAGGAGAAGAAACCTAAAGAAGTTGATCCCAAAAAATTGGAATTGCTCAAGTACCAGGAAACAGAGAAAAGATTCAAAGAACTACTTAACTCTCCCCGTAAGAACAAGAAAATCAAACTCAAAGCAAAAAAGAACAATTTCATTGATACTTCTCTAGAGATAGATAATTACAATGAAGGGAATGTAGATTTCTTGGAGAAGAACTACAAGAAATTGAAGTACCGTATTGACCAACCGAAGAATGAAAGGATTGAGGTGAAAATTCCTGATGAAGACATACTTGGTGAGAAAGAACTCAAGATCAGTGAAAAGGAAACGGTTCTTGAAGAACCTTTAAAGATGGATGTTTCAGAGATTAATCTGTCGACTCCTCAGAAAGCCAAAGCGGCGCCACAGTCAAACCCTGTTGAATTAGCAATTGATCGAGACGACAGTGATTATGATATGGGAGATGTTTCACAAAGTGGATATGAAGAAGCCATTAAAGAAATCAGACGATTGAATGAAAGTATTTCTTTGGTTTCAAAGGAGTTTGAAGAATTGTTTGAAGATGAAGGATTGAACAACGATAAATTGTTGGATAACCTTAGTGATGTTGAATTGAAGAGTGAAAGTGAATATGAGATGGAGAACGATGATAATGTCGATTCTGATATCGAACAAGTGATCAGTGAGAAGGAGATTGCAATGGAAGTAGATGATGGTGATGAGGTTGATTTTGAAGATAAGGTTGATTCAGATGGTCTAGAATCAGAGGATCGAGGTATTGAGGAATCAGAAGAAAATGATCAGGTGGAAACACAACACTTGGAGGAGGATATTAAAGTTGAAACTCAGGAATTAGAACCAACGAGATCGAAGGAAAATGGTATGAGAGAAAGTTTGGATGCTGATGGAGAGATTTCGATTCAACAGGCCTCTCCAGAAGTTGAATCGGTTGAATCAGAAGTTGAGTCCGTTGAATCAGAAATTGGTGAAGTTAATGAAGTTAATGAAGTTAATGAAGTGAATGAAGTTATTGAAGTTAATGAAGTTAATGAAGTTAATGAAGTTAATGAAGTTAATGAAGTTAATGAAGTTGATGAAGTCAATGAAGTTGATGAAGTTCAACCAGATATTGAATCAGATAAATCAGATGAGTCGGATGTTGAGTCTATGAATTCAGAAATCGAATCAGAAATTGAATCCATTGATGGTGATAATATCATTGCTCAAGGTTCAGACATGGACACGATGAACTTAGAATTTGTGTCAGAAAAATCACCAGAGACTGCTTTGCCAAAATCAGAGGCTGTCCCACCTAAAACAGAAACTTCTTCATCACCCAAAAGAGAGACTGTTACATCACCTAAAACAGAGGTTACACGATCTTCATCCACCAAACACAATGATCTGTCCCTTCCTGAACCAAAAATCGAACCTGCTGCTTACAAACCAAAGGAAGACACTTACTCCAAGTATGAGAAAGATGGGAGTTTCATTGTAGGGATTGCTCCAAGCAGATCCCCTAATAGAAAATCCTCCAACATACCCATATCCAAAGACTCGACATCGACAAAATCATCTTTGGTTTCAGATGGACCACCCATCAAGTCTGAAGAAATCTCCCTACAAGCATCTTCGAAATCTCCAAGTATTGGTCAAGAGCTAACAGCATATGATAAGATCAAAGAGAAACTACAAAATCTAACCAGTACTTTCGATTACTTACGTGATATAGCAGAAATCAATTTGAACCTTAAAGATGATGTAGATGGAGGTCTAACTCAATTCATTTCTGAAATACCTCCAGAAGAAGAAGATATGACCATCAAACAATGGGTAGAACATTATGGATTGAGTTGTAAGCAATTTTCACGAGATTTATTCAATGAAATGATTGATTGTTTAACTGAAGATTATGATGAAGCCATTAAGTCCATTGAATCTCTTCCTACAATTGATTGATTCAATAATAAAACTACCAGTGTAAATATAGTGTAATATAATGATACTTCTAAACTTCCTCACAAACTTTGACGTTACGTCTAACTTTCTTTTTCTCTCATGTCCTTATATCTTTCATTTTCGCAGTGATGATATTCGCATCAACGATCTTCTATCGTAACCAAATCACCAATCTGTTATCAACCAATTGATCAGTTTCCAAGGTCTTATAAACGATACCTTGAACCATTGATTTATTAGGTTTATAATAGAAACTTATCATAAACAAGTATTAGAAACAGGATTTTCAAATAAGTTAAAGTTGGTATATTTCAAGGGTACCGTTTCAATTCTGATCATCCAAAATATAATCCTTCAACCATTTTACACAACATGTCGTTCTGGCCTTTCACCAATAGTTTTAATAATAATAGTCAACTACAAAAGTTTCTTGATAATATCCAGGATTATTCTCAAGTTACCATTGATAGCATTTTAAATGATGTTAATCTACTGCAAGAGTTAGTTAGTGAATTACATTCCATTAAGGGGAATTATAATAATGTATCTAACTTTCAATTCCTGCAACAACTACAGCAACAATCTGGACAAATTCTGTTAGCTTCAGATTCTTCATCATCAAATCAAGTCACTATACAAATTGATAACGATTCCAATTCAATCACTTCGTCCAATAATGACAGTGGTAACAATTCTAAAGATCCAAGAGGTATAAAGTTAATTGAAGTCTTGATCCAACCTCATATTTTGAACGGGTTTTTGGATTATATAGTCAAAAGTGTTGATTTCTTTCATGAGTTACAGGTTAAGGAGAATGAAGAGTTGGAGAAACTTTTGAATGAAGGATCTGAAACTGATGATTCTGGTACAAATTCTGCACCTGGAGAGGATAATGGGAATGAAGAGTCTTCTGAAGATTCTAATGTCTCCGAATCCCCTCAAAATAAAACAGAGTCTGAATTCAAAGAAGATAAGGATGAAGAAGAGGAAAGTCATGAAGATAAACTCCGTCGTTGTATTCAACTATCAGCAGAAATCCTTTCAATTGATTTATGGATCATTTCAAACAGAATTCTAGAAACTCCTTCGATTATAAAGAAATTATGGCTGATTCTTTATTTGGACAATCTTGATGAAAGTTCTCCCCTGGTAACTCATGTAGTTCATATTTTAGATCAATTGATGGATACTAACAGTGTAGAGTTATTGAATTTTATCAGAAGTAGAGACGATTTGGTCGATACCTTTTTAAACAAACTAGAAGTTCCTATGTTGATGGATTTCTTCTTAAGAATCATACAAAGTGATAAACCAGATAAACCTACAGGGATTATTGAAACTTTATATCATCAAAATTTAATACCAAAATTGATCGATGTGTTAAAACCAGATATTTCCCAATTTCAAACCAGTCATTCTATTATACCAAATAATAGATTATTTTTCAAACAAACTGCTGCTACAGACTTTATAAAAGCTTTGATAACCATCAGTTCAAACACAGCATTGGCAGTCGTTGTTGAAGCTAATATTGGACCTAATCAATTAACTAGACAATTGGTTTCTCCTAAAATCATTAACCAAATGATCAATGACATCATGTTGTATACTGTTGAAGATAAAGCCAACAACATCAAATTAACCAATAAACATGGTATCAACAATTGTGTTTCAATCATCATTGAATTGATCAGAAAAAACAACAGTGATTATGATTTGAATTGTGGTTCATATAGTTCATTATTACCTACCCACAATGGTGAAGCTACTGAAGTTAATTCTTACGTAATGTTTCAATGGTTGAAAGATTTTGAACAAAATGTTCCTAGTGTTAGAGACCCGATTTTTTTGGGTGATATGTTGACCATATTCTCTGACAATTTAAAGAATTTCAATGATTTAATGGATCTAGAACCTGAATTGCCTACAAACATCAACAAGGACAATAAAATCTTAGGTTTCACCAAATTTAAATTATCTGAATTGATTGCTGAATTATTACATTGTTCAAATATGATCCTCATCAATTCTAAAAAAATAAAGAAGATAGTTGAAATCAGAGATAAGATAAGAGATAGACAAGTTGAAAGACTCCATAAAGCATTAAATGAAGACATCACCGATTTATCTGATAGTGTTAGTGAAATTTCATTAAATGAAGAAGATTTCGAAGACTTGCTCAATGGGGAAACAAAAGATTTTAATAAACTCATAGATACTATGGATCTAAATGAAGAAAGTGATGTTGATGAACCAAGTATCTCTTCAGAAAATCCATTTGTTTGTCAAGAAAGAGATAAGCTGATTAGAGCAAATCCAAGTATCGGAGATTATTTAAAGATGAAGTTAGTGGATTCAAATATCTTGATTAACATCGTTTCCAAGTTCACAGAATATTCCTGGCATAATTTCTTCCACAATGTAGTGTTTGATTTAATCCAACAGATATTCAATGGGAAGCTCAATTCTTATAATTCGTTTTTGATTTCACATTTGTTCAACAGTGATGGTTATAATTTAACCAAAGTCATTGTTGAAGCTTACAGGGAAGATTATAAATTAAGACCAGGATATTTAGGACACTTGATTTTAATAAGTGAAGAAGTAGTGAAATTCACTTCATTATATAAACCTGATTTGATTTCTCCATTAATAGTTGATTCTATTAATTCTGATGAATGGCATTGGTTTGTTAATGAGATCTTATTGAAAACTAGAGAAGTTTACAATGTTGTCTTAGGTGCAGAAACTGATGTTGGAGATGATGAAGACGACGATGATGATGATGATGATCATCCCAAATCTAAAAAGAATTTATTCGGATTCGATTCTGATAACGTTGGTCATTTAGATATGGGTTCATCATACAATAAATCCATACCAAAAATTGATGAAGTTATAAATGAAGATGATGACGAAGAAGAAGAAGATATAATGACATCGATGTCAAGTGTCAGAATTCAAGATATGTCACCTAAACCTGAACAAATGAATGATGATGTTTTAAGTGATGATTATGATGAAGATGTTGGAGATTTTTCCCATGAAGGATTCCAAGAAAATCTTTCAGAATCAAGTAGTGACGATGACGATGATGATAATGATTTTCAAAACGATAATAAATTAACTAGAGTTAAAAAACATAATGCTTAGAAATAAAATACAAATGATTCTGAGTATAAATTATTAATGTTCACATTAGAAATACACGAATATTTATTATTAACTACTCTATTTCCTCTTTCTTCCATAAATAACTTTACCATTAGGTAACTCTATCTTTTCACCTTTGGCTTTCGTCTTTTTTGGTTTTTCAGGTTCTTGAACAGAAGGTTTTGGAGGTATGAATACTTTAGGTTTGATTTCTCCCAATACTCTACCCAAACTTTTATTATATAAAAACACAGGGAATTTCCAGAAAATTGAATCTTGGAATCCAATATTAACGTTGATTTCATTTTCATCAAGCAAAATCAAATTCATTTTATTTTGCTCATCTCTTTCAACAAGACTTACTTCACCTAATGAATTCACAATGAATTCTCTTCCATTACCATCGCCAATCTTTCTATCTGAACCGTCAGCTGGTGGAACCAAAGAATTGTTCCAAGCTTGAGCTTTGATTTGTTGTTTCAAATTGACAACTCTATTGAAATCAGATCTTCTTGATATTTTCAATGAAACGAAATGGAAAATCCCCACAATTACAAATAAGAATGAAAATGTCAATAAGGTTCCTGGACGGAATCTGGAATATAAATAAGAAGACCCTTTCAACGTGGGGAATCCATTCTTGAGGAAATAATCATATCTCTCTTTCAAAGAAGGATCTCTTAAAATATTACCTACTAATGATAATCGTTGGAATCTGTCTTCAGCTTGTTTTCTGATGGTTTTCCCACTCTTATGGAACTTATCAGGATGCAAACGACGTGATACTTTCTTATAGGCTTTATTTATTTCATCAAGAGTTGATTTCCCACCTTTAGGTAAATTTAACCAAGAATAGAAGGTGGTTCCTTCACCTAGATCACCAACAATTTTATCTCTTAAGTTGAAAATTTCATAATCCTCTGGTGACCAATTAACTGCCAATACCGTAACTACAGTAGTTAATAATGCTATCAAAGAAAAGAATTTCATTAACCAACTTTGAAAATTTCGCACAGTTATAGAGGTGTACTTAAAGAATGGCTCATTTATACCCTTTACCTACCAATTATAAACTAGTGTTCTTCCATAATGTATGTTCCTTCACCGTATGGTTCTGTTGCTTTGGTCGATTTTTGGTGTTATTACCTTTAGTTGGAAGAAAATTCTTACCTGGGGGCATTGCTGATTTCTTTCATATAGTGTCAGTATTACCATTTATAGGATTTTTGTTGGTGAAATCATGTATTGGGGTTGGTTTCAGTAAATATGACTTATGGGCTTTGTTTAATTCCATCAAGATGATTTGGATATGTTATGGTGTCATTTTCCCTCATCCTAAGATTGCTAAGCATACATCTTATTCATTCTTGATTTCTTCATGGTGTATAATGTATATGATTCATTATAGTTATTATGCTTTCAGGATTAAGACCAAAAGCTCCCCAAAGTTCTTATTTTGGTTGAATTTCCATCATCATTACTTCACTTTTCCAGTGGCTATAATATCAGAAATGATCTTGGTATTCCTTTCACTTGGATTTGCTGAAGAAAATCTGTGGGTGGAAATAGGTTTGAAGTTCACTATGTTGGCATATATCCCAATAGGTTATTTTCAATGGGAATATCTTAATGGTCAAAGATTAATTCGTTATAATGATTTGAAGAAAAAAATAGAATCAAGTTCCACTAGAAATGATGATGGAACACCACCAAGAAATACTTCATTGAGTCCACTTCAAAATCAAGAAGATATCCAGCTCAGAACCATACCTAGTAATTCTAGGTCGTAAGCATTTTTACATTGTATAATAAAATATATCATATCATTAAGAGTTCTCTAATACTATAAGGTTACATATATTAAATTTTATAAAGGGGAATTAAATCGAAAAATTAACGTGAAAGACCATAATTACAAGTGGGGAAAGTTATTTTGGCCATCATTAACATGAAGCTTCTTAATTAGTGTGAGTAGAATTGAGATGAATCAATTTATAAGATTGAAGCACCAGCATCTCTGTGAATACCACCACCGATTAAATCTAAGAAACCAGCATCGATACCATCTGAGGCAGTAGCAGCAGCTAAATGGTCACCGCCAATTTCAGCACCGTAACCTTTGTAGGCAGCAGCTGAAGCACCTAAGATGTTAGCAGCAGCAGCACCGGAAATACCAGCATCAGCTAAGGCTCTTTTTAAGATAGCAGCACCAGCATCGGCATCAACGTCACCACCAGCGACACCTGGAACATCAGCACCAATACCGGCTGAAGCAGCAGCAGCAGCTAAGTGGTCACCTAAGACTTCAGCATCGGCACCAGCGTAAGCAGAAGCAGAAGCACCTAAAATGTGAGCATCAGCACTACCATGGATACCGGCTTCGATTAAAGCTTTTTTGACCATAGCAACTCTGTTACCAGCAACAGGAATTTCTCTTTTTTCACCAATGATCTTGGAAGCAACGGATTTACCGAAAGCTGATTCCAATTGGTTTTTCATGATGTCAGCATCTTGACCACCTTGTTGGATGGTACTGACAATTTGGTTGACAACGTCACCAGAGTTAGAAAGACCAGCATCTTCTAAGAATCTCTTGAAAACTTCAATTTCTTCTGATCCTGATTCTTCGGCTCTCTTCAAGATAGAGGCACCAGCATCTCTGTGGATACCACCACCGATTAAATCTAAGAAACCAGCATCAATACCATCTGAAGCAGTGGCAGCAGCTAAATGGTCACCACCAATTTCAGCACCGTAACCTTTGTAGGCAGCAGCTGAAGCACCTAAGATGTTAGC